TGCACGGTGCACCCACCCACCCACCGGAACGCCTACTTCAAGTAGACTAAAGGATGCACGGTGCACCCACCCACCCACCGGAACGCCTACTTCAAGTAGACTAAAGGATGCACGGTGCACCCACCCACCCACCGGAACGCCTACTTCAAGTAGACTAAAGGATGCACGGTGCACCCACCCACCCACCGGAACGCCTACTTCAAGTAGACTAAAGGATGCACGGTGCACCCACCCACCCACCGGAACGCCTACTTCAAGTAGACTAAAGGATGCACGGTGCACCCACCCACCCACCGGAACGCCTACTTCAAGTAGACTAAAGGATGCACGGTGCACCCACCCACCCACCGGAACGCCTACTTCAAGTAGACTAAAGGATGCACGGTGCACCCACCCACCCACCGGAACGCCTACTTCAAGTAGACTAAAGGATGCACGGTGCACCCACCCACCCACCGGAACGCCTACTTCAAGTAGACTAAAGGATGCACGGTGCACCCACCCACCCACCGGAACGCCTACTTCAAGTAGACTAAAGGATGCACGGTGCACCCACCCACCCACCGGAACGCCTACTTCAAGTAGACTAAAGGATGCACGGTGCACCCACCCACCCACCGGAACGCCTACTTCAAGTAGACTAAAGGATGCACGGTGCACCCACCCACCCACCGGAACGCCTACTTCAAGTAGACTAAAGGATGCACGGTGCACCCACCCACCCACCGGAACGCCTACTTCAAGTAGACTAAAGGATGCACGGTGCACCCACCCACCCACCGGAACGCCTACTTCAAGTAGACTAAAGGATGCACGGTGCACCCACCCACCCACCGGAACGCCTACTTCAAGTAGACTAAAGGATGCACGGTGCACCCACCCACCCACCGGAACGCCTACTTCAAGTAGACTAAAGGATGCACGGTGCACCCACCCACCCACCGGAACGCCTACTTCAAGTAGACTAAAGGATGCACGGTGCACCCACCCACCCACCGGAACGCCTACTTCAAGTAGACTAAAGGATGCACGGTGCACCCACCCACCCACCGGAACGCCTACTTCAAGTAGACTAAAGGATGCACGGTGCACCCACCCACCCACCGGAACGCCTACTTCAAGTAGACTAAAGGATGCACGGTGCACCCACCCACCCACCGGAACGCCTACTTCAAGTAGACTAAAGGATGCACGGTGCACCCACCCACCCACCGGAACGCCTACTTCAAGTAGACTAAAGGATGCACGGTGCACCCACCCACCCACCGGAACGCCTACTTCAAGTAGACTAAAGGATGCACGGTGCACCCACCCACCCACCGGAACGCCTACTTCAAGTAGACTAAAGGATGCACGGTGCACCCACCCACCCACCGGAACGCCTACTTCAAGTAGACTAAAGGATGCACGGTGCACCCACCCACCCACCGGAACGCCTACTTCAAGTAGACTAAAGGATGCACGGTGCACCCACCCACCCACCGGAACGCCTACTTCAAGTAGACTAAAGGATGCACGGTGCACCCACCCACCCACCGGAACGCCTACTTCAAGTAGACTAAAGGATGCACGGTGCACCCACCCACCCACCGGAACGCCTACTTCAAGTAGACTAAAGGATGCACGGTGCACCCACCCACCCACCGGAACGCCTACTTCAAGTAGACTAAAGGATGCACGGTGCACCCACCCACCCACCGGAACGCCTACTTCAAGTAGACTAAAGGATGCACGGTGCACCCACCCACCCACCGGAACGCCTACTTCAAGTAGACTAAAGGATGCACGGTGCACCCACCCACCCACCGGAACGCCTACTTCAAGTAGACTAAAGGATGCACGGTGCACCCACCCACCCACCGGAACGCCTACTTCAAGTAGACTAAAGGATGCACGGTGCACCCACCCACCCACCGGAACGCCTACTTCAAGTAGACTAAAGGATGCACGGTGCACCCACCCACCCACCGGAACGCCTACTTCAAGTAGACTAAAGGATGCACGGTGCACCCACCCACCCACCGGAACGCCTACTTCAAGTAGACTAAAGGATGCACGGTGCACCCACCCACCCACCGGAACGCCTACTTCAAGTAGACTAAAGGATGCACGGTGCACCCACCCACCCACCGGAACGCCTACTTCAAGTAGACTAAAGGATGCACGGTGCACCCACCCACCCACCGGAACGCCTACTTCAAGTAGACTAAAGGATGCACGGTGCACCCACCCACCCACCGGAACGCCTACTTCAAGTAGACTAAAGGATGCACGGTGCACCCACCCACCCACCGGAACGCCTACTTCAAGTAGACTAAAGGATGCACGGTGCACCCACCCACCCACCGGAACGCCTACTTCAAGTAGACTAAAGGATGCACGGTGCACCCACCCACCCACCGGAACGCCTACTTCAAGTAGACTAAAGGATGCACGGTGCACCCACCCACCCACCGGAACGCCTACTTCAAGTAGACTAAAGGATGCACGGTGCACCCACCCACCCACCGGAACGCCTACTTCAAGTAGACTAAAGGATGCACGGTGCACCCACCCACCCACCGGAACGCCTACTTCAAGTAGACTAAAGGATGCACGGTGCACCCACCCACCCACCGGAACGCCTACTTCAAGTAGACTAAAGGATGCACGGTGCACCCACCCACCCACCGGAACGCCTACTTCAAGTAGACTAAAGGATGCACGGTGCACCCACCCACCCACCGGAACGCCTACTTCAAGTAGACTAAAGGATGCACGGTGCACCCACCCACCCACCGGAACGCCTACTTCAAGTAGACTAAAGGATGCACGGTGCACCCACCCACCCACCGGAACGCCTACTTCAAGTAGACTAAAGGATGCACGGTGCACCCACCCACCCACCGGAACGCCTACTTCAAGTAGACTAAAGGATGCACGGTGCACCCACCCACCCACCGGAACGCCTACTTCAAGTAGACTAAAGGATGCACGGTGCACCCACCCACCCACCGGAACGCCTACTTCAAGTAGACTAAAGGATGCACGGTGCACCCACCCACCCACCGGAACGCCTACTTCAAGTAGACTAAAGGATGCACGGTGCACCCACCCACCCACCGGAACGCCTACTTCAAGTAGACTAAAGGATGCACGGTGCACCCACCCACCCACCGGAACGCCTACTTCAAGTAGACTAAAGGATGCACGGTGCACCCACCCACCCACCGGAACGCCTACTTCAAGTAGACTAAAGGATGCACGGTGCACCCACCCACCCACCGGAACGCCTACTTCAAGTAGACTAAAGGATGCACGGTGCACCCACCCACCCACCGGAACGCCTACTTCAAGTAGACTAAAGGATGCACGGTGCACCCACCCACCCACCGGAACGCCTACTTCAAGTAGACTAAAGGATGCACGGTGCACCCACCCACCCACCGGAACGCCTACTTCAAGTAGACTAAAGGATGCACGGTGCACCCACCCACCCACCGGAACGCCTACTTCAAGTAGACTAAAGGATGCACGGTGCACCCACCCACCCACCGGAACGCCTACTTCAAGTAGACTAAAGGATGCACGGTGCACCCACCCACCCACCGGAACGCCTACTTCAAGTAGACTAAAGGATGCACGGTGCACCCACCCACCCACCGGAACGCCTACTTCAAGTAGACTAAAGGATGCACGGTGCACCCACCCACCCACCGGAACGCCTACTTCAAGTAGACTAAAGGATGCACGGTGCACCCACCCACCCACCGGAACGCCTACTTCAAGTAGACTAAAGGATGCACGGTGCACCCACCCACCCACCGGAACGCCTACTTCAAGTAGACTAAAGGATGCACGGTGCACCCACCCACCCACCGGAACGCCTACTTCAAGTAGACTAAAGGATGCACGGTGCACCCACCCACCCACCGGAACGCCTACTTCAAGTAGACTAAAGGATGCACGGTGCACCCACCCACCCACCGGAACGCCTACTTCAAGTAGACTAAAGGATGCACGGTGCACCCACCCACCCACCGGAACGCCTACTTCAAGTAGACTAAAGGATGCACGGTGCACCCACCCACCCACCGGAACGCCTACTTCAAGTAGACTAAAGGATGCACGGTGCACCCACCCACCCACCGGAACGCCTACTTCAAGTAGACTAAAGGATGCACGGTGCACCCACCCACCCACCGGAACGCCTACTTCAAGTAGACTAAAGGATGCACGGTGCACCCACCCACCCACCGGAACGCCTACTTCAAGTAGACTAAAGGATGCACGGTGCACCCACCCACCCACCGGAACGCCTACTTCAAGTAGACTAAAGGATGCACGGTGCACCCACCCACCCACCGGAACGCCTACTTCAAGTAGACTAAAGGATGCACGGTGCACCCACCCACCCACCGGAACGCCTACTTCAAGTAGACTAAAGGATGCACGGTGCACCCACCCACCCACCGGAACGCCTACTTCAAGTAGACTAAAGGATGCACGGTGCACCCACCCACCCACCGGAACGCCTACTTCAAGTCGTAGCACACATACATGCTCCATGATGCCCTTGTCCGCCCCACTGAGAGCAGCACAGCACACGGGGCCGGCAGGCAGCAAGGCAACCCACCCACATACATGCTCCATGATGCCCTTGTCCGCTACGAACCCCAGAGCGGCCAGGAAGACAGACAGCAATGCATGCATGCACACATAGATCTCCACACCCACCTGCTGGTTTTGGATCACGAATGCCTCTTCCAAGGAGGGTCTGAGGCTGAGCAGCTCCATCATGGCAGTGTCAGTGAAGTCGTAGCACACATGCTCCATGATGTCCTTGTCTGCTACGAACGAACCCCAGCGCGTGTGCAAGCAGGCAGCAAGTCAAGCACACATATGATACACCCACACCAGCCCACCTGCTGGTTCTGGATTACGCTGGTTTTTGAGAATTCTCAAAAGCCCACCTGCTGGTTCTGGATCACGCTGGTTTTTGAGAATTCTCAAAAGCCCACCTGCTGGTTCTGGATCACGAATGCCTCTTCCAAGGAGGGTCTGAGCAGCTCCATCATGGCGGTATCAGTGAAGTCGTAGCACACATGCTCCATGATGTCCTTGTCCGCAACGAACCCCAGCGCGCGGAACACCACGATGATGGGGATCTCCGCCTTGATGTACGGCAGCGTGGCGCGGATCACCTGGCCTGACGAGCCCTGCAGGCGCGGTCAAGTGCAGTAGGGGGAACGGGTTAGTGACATGGTTTGGATTAAGCGAACACCACGATGATGGGGATCTCCGCCTTGATGTACGGCAGTGTGGCTCGGATCACCTGGCCTGATGAACCCTGCAGTGCAGGTGTGGTCAAGTCCAGTGGTGGGAGAAGAATCAAAGACATCGGTGGGATTAAACGAAAACCACGATGATGGGGATCTCCGCCTTGATGTACGGCAGCGTGGCTCGGATCACCTGCCCTGATGAACCCTGCAGGTGCAGTCAAGTCAAGTCCAGTAGTTGGAGAGGCATGGGTTGGATTAAACTAACACCATGATGATGGGAATCACCTGCCCTGATGAACCCTGCACACTGGTGGGTGAAAGGCAAGAGAAACGAACAGATTGTCTCAACGTAGGTCTACTTTTACATCGCACACACTGTTTTGCAGGGGACGCAAAAGAGAGAAAGAAAGAGAAATAAAAAAACAGTTCCGGAAGAGAGGAAGGAGAGACAAAACACACCATGTTGCAGGAGGAGAGGCAGGAAGAGAAGCGTATAGTAGGACCGGGAGAAGCGTACCGTCTTTGCTGAGGAGCGGGAGAGCATGCGCACGAAGCAGGAGCTGCGGGGCCGGTTCTGCCTCTCCGCCATGCTCCTCACCTCCGCCACATACGCGTACTTGTTGCTCACACGTCTCAACAAGGATTCTCAATTTCACTCACAGGCCGCCATACCGTTTTGCAGGACCAGCGGGAGAGGGCGATAGATACAACATACCCTCATGCAATAGGATAGGAAGAGAAGCGCACCGTTTTAGTGGAGGAGCGGGAGAGCATGCGGATGAAGCAGGCACTCGGCGGGCGGTTCTGCCTCTCCGCCATGCTCCTCACCTCCGCCACATACGCATACTTGTTCGGCTGCCGCTTCTGAAACACATACACGTGATTACTCGCCATCTTCTCCTGCGCGATCAGCACCTTCTCGCTCCCGTTGATCACGAAATACCCGCCCTGATCATACGGACACTCCCCCAGCTCCGTGAGTTCCTTATCCGTGGCGTTGTGCAACGTGCAGTAATTCGATCTCAGCATGATCGGGATTTTCCCGATGAAGACTTTGTCTGCTTGCTCCGTGCTGACCTCCTCCTCCCCGTCGTCCCCGCGCGTGGTGAGCGTCTTGGTGATATCCACGTAGAGAGGCGCGGCGTAGGTGAGGTTGCGCAGGCGCGCGGCTTTGGGGAACAGCGTGTTGGTCTCTCCGTCGGGTTCCGTCATTGTTGGCTTGGACAGATAGATCTGCCCAAACGTCACCTTGCATGTCATCTGCAGGGGGGGTAGGGCGGACGGGGGAGGAAGGGGGGATAGGGGGGTGGAGGGGGGGCAGGGGGAGGGGAGGGGGTGTTGAAGGCGTGGCTTTGGGGAACAGCGTGTTGGTCTCTCCGTCCGGCTCTCTCATCGTCGGCTTGGACAGATAGATCTGCCCAAACGTCACCTTGCACGTCATCTGGAGGAAGGAGAAGAAATTGGGGTTGAGGGGAGGGTACGGGATGTTATATGTTGGATAGGATACATCCCTCTATTCTCTCAGGCTCTGTCATTGTCGGCTTGGACAGATAGATCTGCCCAAACGTCACCTTGCACGTCATCTGGAGGAAGGAGAAGAAATTGGGGTTGAGGGGAGGGTACGGGATGTTATATGTTGGATAGGATACATCCCTCTATTCTCTCAGGCTCTGTCATTGTCGGCTTGGACAGATAGATCTGCCCAAACGTCACCTTGCACGTCATCTGGAGGAGGGGAGGGCGGAAGGGGGGAAGAAGGTGGGGAGGTGGGGGTGGAGGGGGGCCAGCGGGGGAGGGGAGGGTGGAGGTGTGTGTGAGATGTTGGCAGCACAAACGCCAGGCACTCAGTTTATCGACTTGCTGACTTTTGAGACGTCTCTTGAGACTTTTGAGACGTCTCAAAAGTGGACGGGGGGCCAGCGGGGGGGGGAGGGTGGGGGTGTGTGTGAGATGTTGGCAGCACAAACGCCAGGCACTCAGTTTATCGACTTGCTGAGCGATGACCGCCCCTCTCACCTCCCTCCCTCCCTCCCTCCCTCCTCCTCGCCGCCCTCCCCGCGCAGGGAGGTTCTGCGCCTGCGGGCAGACCATCAGCACCCAACCCAACCCAACCCAATCCACCAGAAGAGATGCAAGCGAAACTGCTGTCTGACTGTTGTTCAACCCGTAACACGTACATCTGTGTTGGCCAAGGGGCGGCCGGGGAGGTGCTGCGCCTGCGCGCGTGGCTGTGCGGTGTGTGATTCTAGGAGGGCAGATGTGCGATGTGCGATGTGCGATGACCACTCGCGGCATACGTACATCCGTGTTGTCCATGGGTCGCCCCGGCAGGTGCTGCGCCTGCGCTGCGGGCGCGACAGTCCAGTGTGATTCTAGGAGGATTCTGTTTGTCTGCCGTTCGCCCCGTTTGTCTGTAATACGTACATCCGTGTTGTCCATGGGGCGGCCGGGGAGGTGCTGCGCCTGCGGGCGGACCTCGATCTCCGCGGAATCATCAACGATGCTCTGCATCGTGTCCTGAATGAACTCGTTGAACGAATCCAGCTGCTGCCGCACCGTCACCACCCAGCCCAACCGAACCAAATCCAACCCAACCCAACCCAACCCAACCCAACCCAACCCAACCCAACCCAACCCAACCCAACCCAACCCAACCCAACCCAACCTCACCCCACCCCACCCAATCGACCAGAAGAGATGCAAGCGAAGCAACTCTTGGAACTGCTGTCTGTCTGCCGTTCGCCCCGTCACACTTACATCCGTGTTGTCCATGGGTCGACCCGGAAGGTGCTGCGCCTGCGGGCGGACCTCGATCTCCGCGGACTCATCCACAATGCTCTGCATCGTGTCCTGAATGAACTCGTTGAACGAATCCAGCTGCTGCCGCACCAGCCCCTTCTCCTCGAAGTACGCGCTGATCACCGCCCACGCGTCCTCCTGTGTGATCTCCTCCTCCTCGCGCTCCCGCTCGTACTCCTCCTCATCGCCTCCCCCGTACATCGCGCCGGCTTGTTCGTCTCCTACGCGCGGCTTGCTCGATGCGACCTAGTTACGCCTGCCAAACTCGCAACTGCTGCTTTCGCGAACGCTACACTTGCGACTGCTCGACTCAAGCCTGGGCTGAGCCCGTCAGTGCTCGACTCGCATCTGACAAGATTGACACTAGGTCAAGCTAAACCAATCCCTGAAGTTCCTAAATTTAAACGACCTGAGCAGAGGCCTCTAACCCGGACTGAAGTAACCGCCCCCCGGCAACTCAACCCTAAATATCCAAAAGAGGCCCACTTGACGTCACGATGTGCTTATCTCGGGCTTATCAGCGAGGAGCTCAGCAAACCAGCTTCTAATCGCACTGCCGTTCTTCTTCCAATTGGCTCAAAGACAGTTGACCTAAATTCGCTCTCGGCCAGGCTACGTAGAGAAAAAACGGTTTGCGGGCCAGCACTCGATAGGCGGTTGCGCAGGCCGCACTAGTCGCAAGACACATCCACGGTGCTCCTCGCTCTAGCCGCAGCGCAAGCGAAGCACGCAACTTCAGTGCTCAACTCGACACTTCACGTGCTGCTTACGCAAATAGTTACATTTATGCGTGGCTCCCCAAGCTTTATACCGTGACAAGAAGTGGAGGCTGGGAGGGAGGGCCAGCCCAGAGGGAACGCAACGCACTGTTTTCGGGATAAGTCTTGGGATTGTCAGGCAGACTCAATCGAACGGCCAGTAGCTCCACAGATAACAAACCTTAGGATGCGACAGGATCAGCTCAGTGTAACAAACAGCTACACTTACGCGCCAACATCCTGCTCTAAACAGGGCGACGGACCGGTATTTCGAAAGCAGCATTTACAACGTACCATTGTACACTAGTCCTTCTGTTAGACTAGGTTGGTGTGTGAAGTGCTTTTTTCTCTTGCTTTGACAATCACCACTTCATCAACCCAACACGTGAGCCTCAAAAGAAGGAGAAAAAAACAAATTAATGTTCTAAATTCACAGAAACATAAAGTTCTAAACCAAAAAGAACAAGTCCAACGCCCGGAGTGAAGACCGCTGAAACAAAAAGCCGGAGGAGGGATGTGCTGGACGGGACGAAAACAGCACGACAAATGCAACGAACGGCAAGAGAGGGATATCGCAATAGCAAACAACAGGAGAGTCGTCCGAAGCTCTTCCTTGCGCATCTCATCTCAACACACGCCTACCGTACCGAACCTCGCACCTCCGCATAACACTCCCCTGCATCCCCACACAACACTTTCGTTGCATCTCCACACAACAATTACTTGCACCTCCGCATTACAACATTTCCACGCTTCACTTCCTCCCATCACGCCATCCATCCGCCTCTGAACCACCTGTCATTGTTTCCTGTTAAGCCCGCTCCTCCTACCGGTATCACTCTCCCAAATCGCCGCTGCTGCTACACCCCTCCATTGGAGACTTTTTCAAATTCCAGCTCGCAGCGGCCAGCAGCTCGATACGACCCGCACCTCATCCTTCTCCCATCTAACCACCTCCCCCTCTACTTGCTTACCCTTGCCTGCCTTGACCTGGTTCTGCTGCGCCAACAACCATCCAGCACCCCCCTCCCTTACCCGTCTGCCTGAACCAGATTTTGCTCATTCTGCTGCTCCGAACTCCCCCTTCCTACTTGCTCCCCCCCGTCTGCCTCGACCTGATTCTGCTGCTCTGCCGCACCGTCGCCAGCCTAATCGCCTCCTCCCTGTCCCTCGCCTCTTGCTCTTTCATTGCTTTCATCCTCTCCCTCTCCGCCTCCTTCTCCCTCCTCTCCCTCTCCTCCCTCTCCCTCCTCACTTCCTCATCCTCCTTCCCCTCGTCACCTTCCACACTCCCATTCTCTGCCACTCCTCCTCCTCCCCCTACCCCGTCTCCTTCTCCTCCTTCCCCCAACATCCCCTCAGGTGCGGCTGAGGTAACAGCAGCAGCCCCCCCACTTGTCCGGGCAGTTCTACCTCCCCCAGATGCACCTTTCCTCCCTTTCTTCCCACCCGTGCCTTTGCCCCTGGGTGCTCTTGCCCTGCTGCGCGCTTTCCCTGCCCCCCTTGCTCCTGCTGACGCCTGCGACAATTCTGATTCGTCCGCTGTTCCTTCACCTGCCCCTTCGCCTGCCCGTGCTTCTGCCCCTTCGCCTGCCTCTGAAACCTCCTGTGAGGGCCCTTCTGCAGGTTCCTGGGAAACTTCCTGCGACATCCCATTGCCCTGAGTTGCACTCACTTCAATCACACCTCTCTCAGTCACATCCATTTCAGAAACAGCCACTTCAGCTGCACCCATCTGCTCCTCACCTCTCCCTCTCTCGCCACCTCCCTCTCTCCCCACCTCTTCACCCCTTTCAGTCACTTCAACAACCGCATCCATCTCCTCTCCCTTGCCTCCTGCTGTATCACCCATTGTTCCCGCACCTAATGTTCTCACAACTCCCACCTCCACCACATCATCTCCTACCCCTTCCATTTGAATCTCCTCTCCCCCTTTCTCCACCTCTTTCTTTCCCACTTTCTCTTCTCCATTCTCTCCCCTTTTCTCTTCCCCTTGCTCCCCCCCTTGTTCTCCACTTCCCCCTCCTGTCATACCCTCCACCTCCATTGCATCCCTGCTGCATTTTCCCTCACGCCCTTCCCCCTCGTCCTGCCTCTCTTCTCTCTTCTCCTCCTTCTCCTCCCCTCCAATGCCCTTCTCGGTTGTCTCATCATCCCCCCTCTCAGCCTTTCCTTTGTCTCCCTCCTCCCCACCATCCCGCTTTGCTCCTGGTTCTCCCGTCTCTCCACTCTTCCCCCCCTCCACCTTCGCTCCTCCTCCACCCCCTCCACCACCAGCATTCTTACCAGCAGCAACACCAGCAGCAACAGAAGCAGCAGCAGCACCACCAGCACCACCACCATCACCACCATCACCAGCACCTGCCTTGCGCTTCCTGGAAGCCAAACTACCACCCCCCTCCACCACAGCTTGGTCAGCCCCCTTCCCAACCTCCTCCTCGTCCCTCTCACCTGCCTGCCTCACATCCTCTCTACCATCGCCATCTGTCACAGTACAATCTCCACCAGTCGTCTTAAAATCACCTCCTGTCTCCTTACCATCGTCTGTGGCTGCAACCGGCAAGCTGGTAGGCTTGGAATCCTCAACAGCAGCAGCAGCTGCAGCAACAGCGAAGGCAGAAACGTGCTTTTTGCCTTTAGCTGCAGCAGCAGCTTTCGGTGCAGTTGACTTTGCCGCAGCAGTTTTAGCAGCAACAGCCTTAGCAGCAGCAGCCTTACCAGCAGCAGCCTTAGCAGAAGCAGTTTTAGCAGCAGCAGCTTTAGTGCCTGCAGAAGGAGCAGCAGTAGCAGGGCTGCTGACAAGCTTGGTGGCTTTGGCAGCAAAAGCAGAAGGTGCAAACAGGGCAGCAAGACCCGTCTGTAACACTTCCTTCTTCACCTCCTCCACCCCCTCGTCCTCTTTCTGCTGCTCTTGCTCCTGCTGCTCCTGTTCCTCCGCATTCGCCTCCTGCTCCTGTTTCCCTTGCTGCTGCGCCTGCTCTTCCTCTGCTCGTTCTTCCTTATGCTGCTGCTGTCGACCCCGCTGCTGCTGCTTTGTGCTAGCAGCACACCTGCCTCGTGCCTGCTTAGGAGCCTCAACACTCCGCTGCTGCTGCTGCTGCTGCTGCTTTCTGCCTCTGGTCCTAGTTCTAGCACCAGCAGCAGGAGCAATACCAGCAGCAACAGTACCACCACCACCAGCACCATCACTACCACCAGCAGCAGCATTGTCACCAGACTTACCACCAGCAGTAGCGGTAGCAGCCACACGAGCAGGGGCACCAGAAACAGAAGCAGGAGCAGGAACAGCAGAAACAGGAGCAGCAGCGGCAGGAGAAGCAGAAACAGCAACCCTGTGAGTGGAAGAAAGAGCAGAGAGTGTCATTCTCGGGAGCCGAATCACCAACCTTCTCCGCAGCACTACTCCTGTCCTTCCCACAGCATTTCCGCCCACACTCCCTGATCCCTTCCCTCCTCTACCTCCTGCTCCCTCCTCTCCCTCCTCCCTGCTCCTGACACCCCCACCCCGACCCCCACCAGCACCAACAACAGCAACTCCCTCCCCACCCCCACCAATACCACTACCGCCTTTCTGCAGAGCATTCAAATCTCCTTCCTCCCCTTGCTTCACCATCCTATCTAGCAGCATACTTGTGCCCTCCTCTTCCAACTTCTCCCCTTCAGACCCCACCCTATGTCGCTTCACCTTTCCCACCTCTTTTTGAGTCGACTTGAGAACATTCCCAACCCCCCCTCCCCCTTCCGCTCCTCCTTCCTCCGCTCCTCCTTCCCCCCCTCCTCTCTTCCCTTTCCTCGGCTTTGCACGGCGGCCTTGAGCCTGCTGCTTAGGCTTGGACGCCTTCCGAACCTGCTGCGGCGGTGGTACGGTGTGTGGCTGCCAGGCTGGCACTTTGCTAAGTGCACTGGCAGACGCTTTGTTAAACTCCACAACCGGTGGAGAAGCGAGATAAGCAGGAAGTGACATGCTTGCTGGCGGAACTTCACTAGAGTGAAGGAATTTGGCAGTAATGGAGTAGCTTGTATGGGAGATGGATGGTGGCTTATTGGAAGGGGGCAGCGATGAGAAGAGGAGGGCAGGAGGTAGGGAGAAAAAGAGTGAGGAGGAGGAAGCAGCATTGGTGGATAGATGTGGTGGCGATGGGTGAGTGGCTGGTGCGAGCACAATACGAGACAGACATGCCTGCAAGCGTTGAGAAGGGGATGGAAGGGACGGAAGGGGGCAGATGGAGGATAGGGAAGAGGGGGAGAGAGGGGGGTTGTGGTGGTGGGGTGGAGAGTGGGGAGGGAGGCAATAAGGGAGAAGCGTCAGGCAAGGGTGACGAGGAGCAATGGAGGGAAGAAACGGAAAAATATCTACACACATAGAATATAGAAGGGGGGAAGGCGGGGGAGGGAGGGATAATGGGGGAAGTGGGCCGGGGAAGAAGAAGAAGGGTGGAGAAGCGAGGGAGGAAAAGGCGGTAGGAGAGAAAACGCACGTCAACAGCCCTGCATGTGTTCTACTACCCGAGTGAATGTAAGTGCTCTTCCCAAGCGATTCCACTAGACTCCACAATTCCACAGCACTAACTCCGTCTGCCGACCCATGGCAAATATGAATCTTCAAAAACTCAGTCATTGACTCATTAGAGCTTCGTGACTGTGCTAACTCCTCTGCCCCTGCCCTTACTGCCTGCCGCCCCCCACCCGCCTCTGAAACTGCCCTTGCTTCCACGTCCTGAGAGCTCTCACACGCACACTCACCTGAACCGCCCTGGCGGCGTTTGCATCAACAGCAGGCAGATGGGACAATGCCGCCTCTGCCTCTGATGACTTTCTAGTCTACCCAAAACTTGCACACTCACCTGAACCGCCTTGGCAGCGTTTGAATCAACAGCAGGCAGATGGGACAATGCCGCCTCTGCCCCTGCCCCTGCTGCCGTTCCCCCCGCTTCTGCTGTTGCAGCGCCCCCCGTTGCACGCCCAGACATCCCAGCAGTGGCTGCTGCGGCAGAGGATGGTACGGCAGCAGCAGAGGGCAGCAAACGCGCCACTGCACCAGCACCAGCTGCCAGAGCACCAGCAGCACCCATACCACCAGCCGTAGCAGCAGCACCAGTAGCAGCAGAAGGAATGGGCAAAGGTGAACCTCCTGCAGGGCCCCCCGTTGCCCCTGCCCCTGCTGCCCCTGCTGCACCTGCTCCCCTCGCTGCCCCTGCTCCCCCTGCTACCCCTGCCCCTCCTGCTCCCGCCCCTCCTCCAGCACCTGTTACCGCCGCCCCCTCTTCTCCCTTCCCAGCTGCCGCTGCATGCAAACACTTAGCTAAAAGTTCCCCATGCACCAGACCAGCAGCAAGAGGTAGAGAACCCAGCAGCCTCGCCACTGCTCTCACCTCCACCTTCCTCCCTGTCACTATCTCTTTCTCCTCCTGAATCTCTCCCTCCTTCCCTCCTGCCCCTCCCTCCTCCTTCCCTCCACCTCCCCTTCCCAACCCACCATCCTCTCCCATTCTCCCAGCCCCAACCCCCCCAGCCATCCTCTCTCTCTCCTCCCTCTCACCCTCCCGCCTTCCACCCACACCCATCCCCCCTAAAATCCCCCTCCCACCACCGCCAACACCCCCTCTCCGACCCTCCCCATCCCGCAAAAACTCCCCTCTGCCCCTCCCCTCCCCGTGCCTCTCTCCCGAACCTACTCTATGGATATCCCTAGGCCCTCCAAATTGCCCCACCCCTCCCATATCTCTGAGGCCCCTTCCTCCCCCAGGCATGCCTCCCCCTCCTCCCGGACCCATCAGGTTCGGCCCAAACCCAGGGCCGCCCGGGCCTCTTACTCCCGGACCTCCCATCCAGCCTCCCGGACCTCCCAGGAACGGGGATCCCGAACCAGGCATACCATCCCACATGCCCCCAGGTGGAAAGATCGGTCCCCGCCCTCCCATGCCACCTCCCGGACCTCTACCACCAGGTCCGGGCATGCCCGGGTGGGCGCCGAACCTACCGCCCATGCCTGGCCCAGGCATGGGGTGGTGGTGTGGCAGCACACCTGGCCCTCCAACAGAAACACCTGAAGGAACACCTGAGCCTGGGCCTGGCCCTGGGCCAGCACCTGGAGCACCTGGGAAGAGGCCAGGAGAGAGGGGACCCAGGGGGGGCGTGTTCAGGTGCCCCCCAGGCCCTCCAGGTGAGTTTCCAGGGTGTGACCAACGGTTTCTGCCCTGGTTCGCAGGCGGCTGCTGCTGATGTGGCGTCTGCGGTGGCTGATGTGGCACCTGCTGATGTGGCGGTTGCTTGTGAGAGATGGCAGAAGGTGGAAGAGAAGCGGGGGAGTGAGACGGCTGTTCCGGCTGCTGTTGCTGCTGCTTTTGCTCTTTCTGTCGTTGCTCAGAGTCAACGCTCTGTCTCTCCTCCTCCCCCTCTTCCTTCACCTCCTGCCCCTCCCTCTCCTCCGCACCCTCCTCTTTCACTGCTTTATCAACCACTGCCCCTTTCACCCCTTCATCACCCTTACCCACTCCCCGCTTCGCTTCCCCCTTGCCCCCATCCTCCCCCTCCTGCTTCGCATCCTCTTTCCCATCTTCCCCCTCCTTCCCCTTCCCATCCAAATCCTTTTCTTGCCTCTTCTGCTGCTGTTGCTGGTTCTGCTGCTGCTGGTGGTGCTGGTGAGGGGTCATATTCCCCCCCATTCCTCCCATTGCCCCAATGCCCGGGCCCCCACCAACCCCCATGCCTCCCCCCATGTGCATTCCCATGCCCATATGCATGCCCATACCCATTCCCATACCCATCCCCATGCCCATGCCCATGCCCATCCCCATACCCCCACCCATGCCCATGCCCAAGCCTCCCATTCCCATGCCCATTCCCCCCATCCCAAACGGCATTCCCGGCCCCATCCCCCCACCCCTGCCCATGCCTTCCGCGCCCATTCCCCCCATTCCCCCCATCCCCCTCCCCCTCCCCGCCCCATCCCAAGGCCCCGCCCCTGCCCCTACCATACCTCCACCAGGGGAAATACCCCCTGAAAGACCCCCTGAAATGCCCCCTCCTCCCCTCCCTGCCACGCCTTGCCCTGCCCCAGCTGGCCCAGGCCCCCCACTTCCCCCAGCACTACCCCCATCTCCTCCCCCTGCCCCCCCTGCTCCCCCTGCTCCTCCTGCTCCTCCTGCCCCACTTTCCCCCTTCCCTGCTTCTCCCTCTTTCCTTCCCCCGCCTCCAGCCCCGCCCCCTGCTCCTCCTGACTCTGCTCCTCCCCCCCCGGCACTGCCACTCTCCCCAGTCCCCCCTCCCCCAGGGCCCCCGCCCCCTGCGCCTCCCATGCCCCCTCCCCCTCTCCCCTGCCCCCCCAAGCCTGCATCCCAACTGATAATCCCCTCCCCTCCCGCTCCCTCCATATCCCCCCATCTTCCGCCTCCCCTTCCCCTCCCCTTCCCCCCACCTGCTGCTGCTCCATCCCCCGGCCCCTTCCCCATGCCTCCCCCCGCCCCTCCCCCCACGCCTCCCCCCGCTCCTCCCCCCGCCCCTGGTTTGAACCCCGGCCCAGGCCCCCCTCGCCCAAACCCTAATTCGCGCATGTGCGCGCCTGCCCCTGGGGACCCCCCTCCGCCCGCGCCCCTGGGTCCCCCAGCCCCCAGGTGCGGGGGGAAGGGCGCGCCCATCATCCCCCCGCCCCCAGGGAAGGGCGGAACCCCCGCCCCTGAACCCAGTCCCCCAGGAAAAGGCATTCCTGGGCCTGGGAAACCATGAAAGGGGGGGAAGCCGCCTGGGGGAGGCATACCCGGGGAAGGCTGACCTCCTGGTCCCACAAGCCCCTGCCCTCCCGCTCCCCCTGCCCCTGCCGCTCCCCCTCCCCCTGCTCCGCCCATTCCCCCGCCCCCTCCCGCCCCTGTTCCGCCTCCTGGGCCTGGTTGTCCCCTAGGGCCCGCCATTCCCCCCCATCCGGGCAGAAATCCCTGTGGCCCTCTCCCTCCGCCCCTCCATGCTTCCCCAGGGCGCAGCATCACGCTGACCCCTCCTTCCCCCCGCCCCATGACTCTTGGTCCGCCCATTCCCCTCCTCCCCGCGCCCCCAGGCCCCATTCCCCCCATTCCCCCCGGTCCCCCAGGCCCAGCCATCCCCCCTGCTGCTGCTGCAGCTGCCGCTGCTGCTGCCGCTGCTGAGGCATTGCCGGACCTGCCAGGGGTAAGCAGGCCTTCCGTACCTGCGGGTAGGTTCGGTGGAGCAGGGAGAACAGAGGGTGCGTCTATACCAGGGCGAAGGGGCGGGGGAGGGGGGAGAGAAGGGTCGTTGGACGCATCCGCCCCACCTCCCCCTCCTCCTCCTCCTCCTCCCCCTTCTCGTCCCCCTCCTCCTCCTCCCCCTTCTCGTCCTCCTCCTCCCCCTTCCCGTCCTCTCTTTAGCCCAGGGGCCATATCAGACCGCCCTTGCCACTCCCCTCCCCCTCCTCCCCCTCCTCCTCCTCCTTCCCCTCCCCCTGCCACCCCTGCTCCCCCTGCTCCTCCCCCTCCTCCCGCTCCCACTCCTCTCCGCCCCTCACCCATCCCCCTGTCCCCATCAAAGCCTCCTTTCTCCCCCTCCATCTGGCTCTCCCTGTCCCGATCTCGCCCCCTCTCCCTCTCCCGCTCTCGCTCCTTCCCCCTCCTTGCCTCGTCTACCACTGCTCCCTCCCCTGCCACACTAGATCCCATGACTGATCCCTCTCGCTTCGCCCTCCCCACTCTCTCCCCTCCATATTCATCCTGATACATCCCCCCTCTCTCTCTCTCCCTCCCTCCTTCCCACTCCCTCTCCCTCTCCCTATCTCTGTCCCTCTCCCCTCTCTCCCTCTCCCTCCTCTCCCACTCCCTCCTTCCCCACTCGCCCTCCCTCTCCCTCTCCCACTCTCGCTCCCGGTCCCAGTCACGCTCCCTCTCCCAATCTCTCTCTCTCTCCTTATCCCTCTCCCCATCCCTTCGAAATCGTCCCTCCCGACCAGACCACCATCTGGCCTCCCTTTCCCCCCTCTCCCCCCTCTCACCCCTCTCGCCCCTCTCGCCTCTTCCCCCCCTTTCCATCCTCTCCCCTCTCCCTCCTCTCTCCACTCCTTCGGCCCTCTCCCCTCTCTCTCCTCTCTCCACCCTCTCCCCCCTCTCCCCTCTTTCCCCTCTCTCCGCCTTCCTTCCAGCACCAAAAGTCCGACCGCTCTCCTGCCTTTCAACCCTCCTTCCGCCCCTCCCCCCATGCCCCCTCCCCCCACGCCCATACCCTTCCTCCTCCCCTTCTCCCTCCCTTTCCCCCCCCTCTTCATCCGTTTCTCTCCCCTCTTCACCCCTCTCCTCGTCCTCCTCCTCCTCCCCAACACCTACCCCTCTCCTCGTTCTCCTCTCCCCCTCATCCTCCCCAAATCCCTCTCTCCTCCTCCTCCTCCGCTTCCTCTTCCATTGCTCCTCATCCTCCCCAGCCTCCTTGCCCCATTTCCCCCCGCCCTCCCGCCCATCCGCTCCCCACTCCTCCTCACCCTCTTCCCCTTCCAGCCCTTCACCACCCTCTCTTCTCCCTCTCTCCTCCCTCTCTCTCCTACGACCTTTTGCCCCTCTCTCCCCTCCTTTCTCATTGTTCAACTGCTGCTGCCAAAGCCCCCCTTCTCCAATCGACCCCTCCCTTTCCCCCTTCTCACCCTTCTCCCCCTTCTCGCCCTCTTCTCCCTTTCCTCCCTTCGCACTCCCTGCCCCCCTCTTTCCGCTTCCATCACCCGCCTCTGCCCTTTCCCTTGCCTTCATAAGCGGCTGTGAACCCACAAAACCTGCGTCACCAGCAGCACCAGCAGCAGCAGCACCACCGCCACCCTTCCCTGTCCCCACTAGTTTCAGCCCCTCATTCGCTTCATCCCCTTCACCTCCCGCCGCTCCCTCCCTCCCCGCTGCCTCTGCCTGTTCCCGCCCCTCGCTCTCTCTTCCAGGCGCCTCAAACGTGCGTCCCTGCCTTGCCTCGCGAGCAACGGGAGCCTCAACCTTCCCCTTGTCCTCACCACCACCCGGCCCCCGCTTGCTGCCTGGTCCCTCTAGCTTCAGACCCCGTCTCCCCAGCACAGTAGAGTCTGCAGCAGCAGCAGCACCGGTCACAGCAGCAACACCGCCATCAGCAGCAGCAGCGGCGGCGTTGGCAGTAACGCCGGCAGCAGCAGCTGCTGCGGTCAGTTGGGGAAGTACACTGGTATCATCATCACCAGAAGCAACACCACTATTATTCGCAGCAGCAGCAGCAGCACCACCACCCAACAACCCACTCTGTCTCTGCTTCGAGTAACTCTGATTCAGAATCGCCAGTCCCTCTCCCAGAGCTCCCCTTTCCTCCTTCGCTGCTTCCTCCTCTTCCTCTTCTTCCTCCTCCCCCCCTTCTTCCTCTACCTCCTCCATTTCTCCTGCACCTTTTCCTTGAGCCCTTTCCACGAATCTTCTCATCTTACCAGACTTAGAAGACCTTCCATCGGTCTCACCTTCCCCAGATAATACCTTCCCAAGCTTAACTCTCTCAATTGATACCTTCACCACCCTTCCCCCCCCTGCTTCCACCTCCCTCGCCACCCTGTCGGTACCCTCATAGTCGATAGGAGCATTTGTACTCTCTTTAAGCCTCTCCGTTTCTGCTTCCAGCTCAATTTCATTCTCCACACCTCCCTTCTTTCCCCCATGCTCCCTATCCCTCCGCTCCTTCCTCCCATCCCCACCCTTCTCTCTCCCCCTCTCCCTCCCCCTCCCAACCCTCTCCTTGCCTCTCCTCCCCTCTTCTTCACCCTCCTCTTCCTCCTCCTCCCTCTTCCGATCCCTGCCCCACCTCCTCCCTTCTCCTCTCCCCTTCTCCTCTCCTTCATACTTCTCTCCGTCCTTAATAAACGAAGCCCTACCTTCCCGTCCGCCCGCCTTGGCACCCTTTCCGCTGCCCCTGAGACCTGCCACTGGACTGCCCTCGTCTTCCTTTTGAGACGTCTCAAAAGTCCTGCCGTCTCTACTGCCCGCCTTGGCACCCTTTCCGCTGCCCCTGGCCACTGTCACTGGGCTGCCCTCGTCGTCCTCCTTGTGCCGCTGCTGACGCCCTTTCTGCCCCTTGCCTCTCTCCTTCCCCACGTCCCGCTGCTCGTGCTCTGAAGGGAGGAAGAAGGGAAAAACGATATTAGGGTTTTTGAGACGTCTAGAGAATCGCCCTCCCTCGTCTTCCTCCTTGTGCTGCTGCATTCGGCCTTTCTGCCCCTTGCCTCTCTCTTTTCCCATGTCCCGCTGCTCGTGCTCTGAAGGGAGGAAAGAGGAATACGAGTGTAGTATAAATGGTTTACATGGTTCCTCTACTGGGTTCATGTGATGGTTCACGCGATGGTTCATGTGATGTTGCATGTGATGGTTCATGTGATGGTTCATGTGATGTTGCATGTGATGGTTCATGTGATGGTTCATGTGATGTTGCATGTGATGGTTCATGTGATGTTGCATGTGATGGTTCATGTGATGGTTCATGTGATGGTTCATGTGATGTTGCATGTGATGGTTCATGTGATGGTTCATGTGGTGGTTCATGTAATTCACGTGGAACAGGGAGACTGCATGATTTGTAAAAACAATGTTCCAGGATGCAGGTCAAGAGTTAGAATTCTGACTCAATGCGTCGTGTGGTGCATAAATAGAGCCAGCACACCTGAACCAATGCGGGGTGTGGTGGATAAACAGAGCTAGCACATGGGTGCATACCTGACGAAGACGACAGCCCCGGCGAATCTGCTAATTGACTTTTGAGCCGACTCAAAAGTCAATAATGCGGGGTGTGGTGGATAAAAAGAGCTAGCACGTGGTTGCACCGAGCATGCCTGAGGAAGACGACAGCCCGGCGAATGTGCCCGCCTGCCTCCTGTTTTTGAGTCGAGTCAAAAATAGAAAGGGCTAGCACATGGGTGCACCGAGCATACCTGACGAAGACGACAGCCCCGGCGAATCTGCCCGCCTGCCTCCTCGCTTCCCATGCCTCCACTCCCTACGCTCCCCTTCCCCGCCATAATCACCACGCCTATAGTCACCCTGCCATTCCTCTTCCACATCCCTCCTCCTCCTCTCTTTCCCTCTTACCCCTTCATCCCGTGCTTTCCCCCTGTCCCTCTCCCCGTCTCTGTCACGCTCCCTGTCCCTTCCTCTCTCCCTCTCTCGCTCTCGTCCCCTTCTCTCCCTCTCCCTGTTCCTCCCCTTCTCCCGGTTACCATGCAATGCTGACCCACCCTCAATTTCCTCCTCATCTTCCTCCTCCTCATCCCCCTCCTCCTCATCTCCTCCCTTTTCTTCCCTCTCCTCCACCACTTCCTCCCTTCTCCTCACCGGATTCAACTCCTCATCACCGGCCTCATCCCCTACCTTGCCTCCCTGCCTTGCTCTTCCGGCTCGGCCACTCCTTTCCACTCCCCTCTGTCCCTCTTCCTCCTGATCACCCTTTCTCTCCCTCCCTTCTCTTTTCTCGTCCTCACTACTCGCTTCCGTCACCTTCCTGCTGCTACCCTTCTCCCTCCGCTCCTCCCGCCGCGAAACCCCCAGTTTCTCCTGCTTGTCTTCATACGTCCCTATAAGAGCCTCCGTAGTTAATACCCCACCTTCCCCGAACCGCTCTAGGTCTTCAGGCCCCTCGAGATCCTCAAACAGCGGGCTCCGTGGCGCCTCGAACGCGACCTCGATCGCATCAATGTCCACGAACCGCGCGTTCCAGTGCGCGTCGTCGTCGCCATCGTCGCCCGCGTCGCCAACCTGCCCTGCGACAGGCCGTGCGACAGCCGCCGCCTGCGACGTCTTCTGCGACGCCTTCTGCGACGCCTTTGCTGCGGGATCCGCCTGAAACGACAGCTCACGCCGACCGTCACCGCCTCCCTTCCCTTTCAACCGCGCAAAACCTCTCTCCGGACTCTTTCGCCGACTGCGATCCGGAAAATCATTTCTATCACCGACATCATGGCTCCTATCCGGACTACCGGTTCCCCTATCCCCCTTCTCCAATCGGTGCCTTCTCCGGCGTTTAGAATCCCTATCGTCGTCCCGGTCCCGGCTCCTCTCTCCTTCGATCTGCCGCTGACGATCCAACCCCTCGCCATTCTCCTCCTCCTCCCTGCTCTGCGCGCGTTTCGCGGATCCGGAAGACCTATTTGCGGAATGTCGGTCCTTTCGGTAAGGGAAGGCGGCAGCCCCGCTGCCGCCTATTGGCGTCGCGAAAGTAGCTGTAGCAGCTGTAGCGGCTGTAGCGGCTGTAGCGGCTGTAGCAGGGACGGTTGTAGCCGCTTCCGCCACGTCATTGTCGCGAGACGCCTCGTAATCTGACGCGGATCCCGGTGATTCGTAGTCGTCCGATTCGTTGTGCCGGCGGCGCGTGTGCCTGGATCGGTCCTTATGCCGGTGGTGGTGGTGGTGATGACGGTGGCGGGATGTATGATGCGATTCGGTGTGGCCTTGCCTGCTACGGCCGTGCGGCTGCTTCCCCTCCTCATGCTGCTGCTTCCCCTCGTCGCTTTTCCGCCACCGCCGTCTCTCCGCTGCGCCGCCTTCGCCGCTTCCTTCCGCGTCGCTAACGTCCGGATCGCTCGCTTCGTCTGCCTTCTCCCATCGGCTCGAACGGCGCATCGCACGGTGCTACGAGAAAACAAAGTCCGGATCTAAAGGAGGACAATTACCGCCTAAAATGCCATAAGAAACTGCTAATTTTCTCACGATACCCTTGCAGAACGCCACTTGAGATAAGCAGAAACCCTAAAGCAGCGGTGCGTGGTTGGTTGGTTGGGAGTGTCTGTGAGCGAGTGCTTCATGGAGTGGCATGACTGGGAGAGTCTGAACTTGGGATTGGATCAGCCTCACATGAAAGCGTCAAGGTGTACTCTTATTTTCTGAAACCTGAAACTCGTATCTTGTTCCGTACATTTGGAGTCCTCATCCCGTACTACGTGGAAAACGAGTGGAGCTTATAGGGAGTCTGATCCTGGAACCCTTGTTCGTCTTTCTGTATTCGGCAGGTTCAGTTCAGCTTCACGCTTAGCAAAAAGCGAGACGCGAAAGGTGCGAAAAGGTGCATGCACCGAACTTCAACCTATGGCGGTTCTTCTATATGGTTGAACCCTGTCCAACCACACCTTCCCCGAACCATACCCTAGAGACGGATTCTTTTTCTTGTCTCTCCCTGAAGAACCACCCCCCAGGCGCAGCGGCGGACCCCACCCAGCCAGTGACGACGCCATTTCGGCTGTGCGCATACACCGCGTGTTCCTCTCTCCACCCACTTCCAATTTCTCCGCGTGTTGCCCCCCGCTTTCCCCGTTCAGGCCAGCCCGCAGCACCCTCCTTTCCCCCATCGCCAGTTATCCGCACCAAATCCGCTGGAGGTTTCCTTGGCTCACAGCACCTGCAGCTCCTCCTCCAAAAATACATTTACACTACTCATAACGTACTGAACCGTAATACATCGTATGGTGTCTACCTTTTTTATGCACAACCCAGCCTCGTCCCTTCCCAGAATGTGTATTGCTCCAGCTCCTCACATCTATCTCCTCTTGGCTTCCTTTTCTGGCCAGCCATATCCCCGCCTCACCAGAGCGTCTCACGAGTTTACTCGTGTCCCTGGTTGGGTAGGGCAAGCCGTTGCTACGTGTTTGGAGCCTGACCTGAAACGTGTCCAGGATTAGCCTTTACCCGGATCCGCGTTGACCAGGAATAGCTTCGGCCAATCATTAGTTTCGACCAGGAACTTTCCTGCGAAGAATCTCTATGTCGTGCGGGTGGACGCGTCGTGCGACGGCTCTAGTTGTGCTGCGTGTCGTATAGCCTGCGCGGACAGCGTGCAGCGTCGCGGACAGCGAATCTTTTTCGAAGCTATTCGCGAAGCCGTTTCGCACAGATCGGACCGTTGGAGCTGTAGCTTGTGATTCGACAAAACCGTCGGCATCAAGTCAGCTATGGCCTCCATGGTGAGCTCGGCATTTTCACCCGTCGTCGCAACTTGTATCTTACATTCGCCTGGTGCTTGGTGAGCCCGTCGTCGCACCCCATGGTTTCCGGTTCTCCCCATTGCTGACAACGGGCCCATGAATTTCCTTGAAAACTGCGCTTATTCTCACGGTTGGATCGTCGTCCCTTTGGTTTCAATGGGTCCATCGGCTCCATCGGCTCCATCGGGTCCGTCGGGTCCATCGTCTCCATCGGGTCCGTCGGGTCCATCGGCTCCCTGTCTGGCGCATGGACGACATGGTTTGTCAGAGAAAAGCGCAGTGTGACGTGTTTACAGTCGGCTCAAAAGTAGTTTGTCGCTCGGACGAGACGTTTTGTTAGAAAAAAGCTTGGAAATTGACGGGCAAAACATCAATCGATGGACACGAAGAAAAGCGCAGTGAGCCGTTTGCAACGTCTCTCGTTCGTCGAGAGAGAGTCAATCGGAACCTTTGCCGAAGTCCACCCTTTTTAATCTCCGAGGTCAGTCGCGTGTTTCGTATCGTTCAGCCGACCCCACAGACCTACCTTCCAAAATGCTTTGCTGAACGCGTCACGGACTTGTCGTAGCATGACATTCAAACCGCGCAGCGATGTAGCCTCCTGGTTCATATCGCATCTCACACAGTTGGACCGTTGCAGCCGTGCAGCCTTCCATTGAAGCACCCTCCGCCCTCTCCGCTCTCCTCTCCGCCCTTTGCCCTCTCCCCTCTCCCCTCCGCCCTCTGCTGTCTCCATTCTCCCCTCCGCCCCATCCCCTCTGTTTGATCCAGGCTGTAGCGTCGGCGGCAGCACCGGCGTCAGAAGCGGCGATGGCGTGTGCTGCAGCCATGCAGCCTTCCACTGAGGCGCTCTCTTATCGGATCGGAGGCATGCTGGGTATCCTCGTTAGTAGCATGTGAGACATCATCGTTAATTTGTAGCGTGTGTGCGAGTCAATCTAGCTACTGTTACTTCTCGTTCTCGTTTGCGTACTGATCACACACTCTCTTATCGAGTCCTGGGACGCAAAATACATACAGTACGGATCACACACTCGCAAAATACACTCGCGTTTTTTCTTTGCGAAGGTCTCTATTATGCATACAGTACGGATCACACACTCTCTTATCGAGACCTGGGATGCAAAATACTTGGTGGCGAGTCTAAGAACAGCAGTGGTCGCCTCTCACATTCATAACCCCTCAACACCTCTTAACCCCTCCCCTCTTCCCCCCTCCCCCCTCCCCCCTCCCCCCTCCCCCCTCCCTCCGTCGTTCCCTCTTCCAGCATCGGTTTCGCCCTGCCGTTCCTGCTGCGCGGGCACCACAAGACGCTGCTCGGGCCATGGCTGCTGGCATCTGAGTTAACTCAAAAGTCTCTTCCCCTCCCTCCTCCCCCCTCCCTTCCACCTCCCTCTCCCCTCTCTCCCTCTTCCAGCATCGGATTCGCCCTGCCATTCCTGCTGCGCGGGCGCCACAAGACGCTGCTCTTCTTCTTCCGCGCCATGGCTGCCGGCATCGTGCTCGCCGTGGCCATCGTGCACATCTTCCCAGGTGCGTTTCAGAAAATTGATTCAGAATGTGCTGGCATTGTGCTGGCATCGTGCTGGTAATGCCCTGCCATCGGGCTGCCATTGTGCTGCCATTTTGCACATCTTCGACCCACCTTCCTCCCGCTCCCAGCTCACCAACGTCATCCCCTCTCGTCCCATTTACCAGGCACACAGGAAGCGCTGTCCAACCCATACCTGGAATTTTCCTCCTCGTCCTTCCCCTGGGCGCCCGTCTTCATCCTCTTCTCAGCGCTCTGCTCCTTCCTCATCCCCATCTTCCCATCTTCTCAACCAGGCGCACAGGAGGCGCTCTCAAACCCGTGCCTGGACATCGCCTCCTCGTCCTTCCTCTGGGCGCCGGTCTTCATCCCCTTCTCTGCCCTTCCCGCTCCTTGCTCCTCCCCGTTTACCCTTCTTCTCATTAACCAGGCGCACAGGAGGCGCTGTCAAACCCATGCCTGGACATCTCCTCCTCCCCCTTCCCCTGGGCGCCGGTCTTCATCCTCTTCTCAGCACTCTTCTCCTTCCTCGTCGAGTGCTACTTAAAGAAGCTCCTCCTCCTCTCCTGGCGCCGCAAACACCCCTCTGCTGCTGCTACATCTGCCGCTGATTCTGTTGGTTCTGCTGGTGGGAGCAGCAACAGGAGTGGCGGCAAGAAGCGGAGGCTGGGTGCGGGTGGTGTGGGGCGAGTGGCACGAGTTGTTGCTGCGCTGCTGGCTGGCGGGAGGAGGAAGAAGGGAGCGGGAATTAGCAAAGGCGGCAATGGCGGTGGCAGCGGCAGTGGCCGGGGAAGCAGCAAGAGGGATGGGAGGTTGAGGGAAGATGGGAAGCAGCAGAGGGCATGGCAAACGGATGGGGGCAGCCCCCCTGATGTGGCATGCCATGCATCCCCCCCGTGCTGTGATGCCCCATGCAGTGCTGCTGCTGCTGCTTGTCATGACACGGCATGCCATGATGCCACATGCCATGACATCCCATGCCACGAAGTTGTGTGCCATGATGCCACATGTCACGATGCCATGTGTCCGGACGTGACTTGCCCTGAAGCAATCTGCCACGACTGCCCGGAATCCACCTGTCACAGCACCGCATGCCACGAGATCACATGCCATGACGCCACCTGTCATGAAACCACCTGCCAAGGTAGCACCTGCCCAGACACAACCTGTCCAGATAACACCTGCCACGGAGTCACCTGTCTGGAGACCACCTGCCCCTCTGCTGCCTGTGGTCAATCCCAGTGTGCTGGCTCTAAGTGTGTTGACTCCACTTGCACAGACGCTAAGTGCATTGACGCCAAGTGCTTAGCTAAGTGCTGTGAGACCAAGTGCCCCGCCTGCCCCGACTGCGCGCTGGACGTGAGACCAGGGGAGGAGGAAAAGGAAGCAATGAAAACCGGGAAAGCAGAGTGGGAGGAGCAAGAGGGGCGGGAGGAGAGCGAGGAGAGCCAGATGCGGGAAGCGGTGGCGCTGTCGTCGCTGCGAGCGGTGGCGTACACGCTAGAGATGGGTATCATCTTCCACTCCATCTTCATTGGGATTGCGCTCGGGGCGAACCATGACAGCGCAGAGATCAAAGGGCTCGCGATTGCCCTCGTCTTCCACCAGGTGTGTATCCTTGTGCTCGTCTCGCCCTCCTTAAGTCTCTTTTGCATGCTCCATGCCTCCCCCATTCCGCGCCTTCATCTTTCACTCCATCTTCATTGGAATCGCCCTCGGGGCGAACCATGATAGCGGGGAGATTAAGAGCCTTGCCATTGCTCTTGTCTTCCACCAGGTGTGAAACATTCTCCATGTGTCCCTCATTCTCTTTCTAGCACAAAACCCTCCGTCCTCTCAAGGGGTTTCCCCATTGCCCTCATCTGCCACCAGGTGTTTACTTGTTCCATGCCTCATATCCCTCCTTCCCCGTGGCTACCCCGATTCTCTCTCAGAGGTCTAATGTGTCCCCACATTTTCGTGGTTTGACCACTGTCCTTTCGCGCCCTTTCTGTCGCTGTTATCAGGGCTTCGAAGGCATAAGTCTAGGTACTGCCGTTGCCCCGTGCCGCTTCTCGCTACTCAAGACCCTCTGCATGGGGCTGCTGTTTGCATTCACCACGCCTCTGGGCGTGGCTATAGGGTTGGCTGTCCACTCGTCCTATAACTCCAACAGCCAGGCTGCTCTGGCGACTGAGGGCGCGTTTAATGCCGTGTCCGCCGGCATCCTCATTTACAACGGACTCGTTGACTTGTTAGTGCCGACGTTCGACGAGCACGACGAAAACACCCCCAAGGATCCGGTTGCGTATTTCTTTGGGTTTGTGTTTTTGTTTCTGGGCGCTGGAGCCATGAGCTTGCTCGCCGTATGGGCATGAAATGACTGGAGGTTTTGCTATGAATTGGTGGTTATTTTACTTGGGGATACCCTGCTGCGATTAGGTTATTGCTGCATTTAGCAGGATGTATGTAGATAATAATGACTTTCTGAATACCCGTTCTGGTGGTTGAATATTTTTGTACATCTACATTGTCAATGCGTACAACTACAGTCTTATTTTGCAATTTTCGCATTTCTCTTCGGCATTCCCAAAGACTGGCTCCTAAATCTTCACAACCTACTCCATCCACTAACGCGCTTCCTCTCTGGTATTCTGGCCGTTGTCTAGCAAGCAACTTTTACATCGGACCAATATTGTAACGGCTAGCTTCTTTCGTGCTGTAGTAGCGAGTTAGCGTCAAGGGTTTCCAAAGCAAAAATGGGGAGCGGCGCAGGTCGAGGGAGGAAAGGTGGACCGACGGGTCGCAGACACTTCTCGACAGTCGAGGAAATGAGTACGCATGGGGAGAACACGAGTTAAAAAATGGAGAAAGGGTGAATAGAATATGTGAAACTAAGGGAGAGAGAAGGTGGATCGGAGTGAAGAAGCGGAGAGGGAGTGTCGGTTGTACACTTGAAATGCTTTGATCGTGTCGTGGAGTTTTGTACTTCCTACCTGTTCCTAGCTCTTCGTGCTTTCGCCGTCGGGTCAGATCATATTACCCTCTCCTTCTAACCCCTCGTTTTCGTTGGCCAGTTCCGTTCATGTCTAATGAATCTGGACTCGACTACCAGATAGACATTTGCATAGCGATTTCGTTTACCTTTTTCCTAGAATTCGTCATTAGGCTCTTCGAAACTTGGTTTTTTCCCTCAATTTGCGTCCTCTCGCCTTCGTTCTCCCTTCACCCTCCACCTCAACCCTCAAACCCTCTTCTCCCCCTTTCCTCCTCACCCCCCCCTTCCCCTCACCTTATCGCACTTCCTTCTTCTCGCCCTCCCTCCACGAACTTTCTGTGTCGGCAGAGTCAGGCACGTCATCTGAGCCTAAGTGGAAGCAGCGGCGGGTGAGTGTCAATTTTAGACTTGTACGCACGTGTTGTCGGACATACGTCGTCTTTCATAAGGCGCGATCGAAGGAGCCTCTGTGCCGTACCAGCGGCGGGTGAGTGTCAGTTTAGACTTGTACGCACGTACTATCGGGACGTATTCTTCGCCTTTGACGTCGAAGACGTCCGTCAAGGATTAATCAGTAAAAATCACGTCTTTAGATTGACGTCGCGTTTTTGTTGCGTCCTCTTCTCTCTGTCTCTCCAGACAATCTAATAAACCTAACTTCTCTCGCAACTTCTGGTTGTGTTGATCTGCTTCTTCCAATTCTCCACCGGTCACATTGGCAGAATCAGGATCAGGAGGACGATCCGGAGGAGGAAGGGGAGGAGGGGAGCAGTGAGGAGGAGACTTTTGAGTAAGACTCGCAACCCTTTCCCTGATTCTCCAACCCTTCTCCCGATTCCCCACCGGTCACATTGGCAGAATCGGGATCAGGAGGACGACCCGGAGGAGGAAGGGGAGGAGGGGAGCAGTGAGGAGGAGTCGGAAGAGGAGGGGGAGGAGGAGGTAAGAGAAGGGGGGTTGAGACATGGGCAGAACGGAGCGGAGGGTAGGGGGACGGGAGAGAGAATGAGAGAGAGAGAGAGAGAGAGAGAGAGAGAGAGAGAGAGAGAGAGAGAGAGAGAGAGAGAGAGAGAGAGAGAGAGAGAGAGAGAGAGAGAGTGGGAGGGAAAATGGAGAAAGGAGAGGAGAAGGGAGCATAAACCTGACGAGAGGAGAGAGAAAGAGAAGAGGAAATTGATAGAGGGTTGAGTGTTGGGTACTTGCTTTAATTCCTGGATCACTTAGCATCAAAACTGCACGTCTCGCTCTCCAACCTGAACCACTTGTGCTCATTCCTTGTTTCCCCATGCCCCTCTTTCTTTCTTCACGCCCCTCCCTTTCCCCGCACCTCCCTCTCCCCCGCGCCAGAAGCACAAGGGCATTGGCTCTTCGCCGTGGAGAATTCTAATGCGGCCAGAAAGGCAGCAGGAAAGGAAGGGATTGTGTCAAGACGTCTCAGACTAGCATATGCGTGTTCCCCCTCCCCCCTATCCCCCTCTCTCCATCTCTCCATTTCTCCTTGTCCCTCGCCAGAAGCACAAGGGCGTGGCAGGGTTGATCGCTGTGGAGAACCCAAATGCGCCCAGGAAGGCCGCAGGAAGGGGTTGTGTCAAGACGCCTCAGACCAGAATATGCTCGTTCCCCTCACCCTCCCCTTTCTCCCTCTCCCCGCCCCTCTCTTTCCCCGCACCTCTCTCTCCCCCACGCCAGAAGCACAAGAGTGTGGCAGGGCTGGTCGCTGTGGAGAGGGGATTGTGTAACGACGTCTCAGACTAGAATCTCCGTACTCCTCCCCACTCTCTCTCCGTCTCTCCATTTGTCTCTCCCCCCTCGCCAGAAGCACAAGGGCGTGGCAGGGCTGATCGCTGTGGAGAACCCCAATGCGCCCAGAAAGTCCGCGGTCAAGATTTCCCAGGCAGATGTGAGTATAACAAAGGGGTGGTTGTGGGGTGGTTGTTGTGAGTATAGCGAGATGGGGTGGTTGTGAGTATAGCGAGATGGGGTGGTTGTGAGTATAGCGAGATGGGTTGGTTGTGAGTATAGCGAGATGGGTTTGTTGTGAGTATAGCGAGATGGGTTGGTTGTGAGTATAGCGAGATGGGTTGGTTTTTGTGAGTAAAAGGCGTGGTTGTGAGTATTACGAGATGGGCTGGGAGTGTTGAACCCTGTGCCACGTTTCCCCTCCGCTCCCCTACCCATGGATTTGAGACGTCTCACAACCCTTGCCTTGACAGCTCTTTTTAGCGAGAGTGAAGCCTCTTGTCTTGTTCCTCGGCCTCACATTCCTCCCCTCGCTCTTTTCGTCTCTCCTCCCTTTCTCTGTCCCCCCTCTCTTTCATCCACGTTTCCCCTCTTTCTCGTCCTCGCCTTCTTTATCGCTCCCTCCTTTCGCTCAACCCTTCCTCCTTCCTTCCGTTCCTCGCCACTCCCAACTCCTTTACACCTTGTCCTTCCCCCATCTCACCCTTCCCTCCTCCTCTCTCCCGTGTTCCTTCTCATCCTTGACAGACCAACGCCACCACGCAACTCTCTCGCCGTGAAAGGTGCGTTTGCGTTGACTATTACTAACAATAGCCGGCACTAGTAGCTAGTTCAGGGGCAGTGTCGTAGCTTGCGACATTTTACATTGGCGTGCCCGGTGCATGCAGCGTCTTTATAACTCCCTCGAATGGTCCTTTCATTGATGTAGGCCAAATTACACCACATGCGTCCTCTCTCTCGAATGGCCCTTTCATTGATTATCATAAGACTTACAGGCATGCAAGGTGGTAGCTATTGTGAGTCTGGTGCATAAAGCCTCTTACTACTCTTCTACCATTCCCCCCCCCCCCCCCTAAGCTAGGTCCAGCGCAGGATCAAGGACCGAGAGGCAGTCCCCTAGGGACGGAGCCTCACCTACTGCCTCCAGCAGTGGGTATTCTACTGCAGCCGCTATGCTGCACTTCTCTAAGTATCCAATCGACTGCCCCCTTTGTAGAGCCACCGACCACCGCTGCCGATATTGGTGTAAGAGCTTGGCAGCTTGGTAGGAGGTTGGCTCGGCGTTAAAAAACCGCCTTGCAGCCGTCTCCGCGAGCAGCTTCAGGAAATCCACTGTCTCAGGGCATGGGCACCCATAAGTCTCGACCGCAAGTGGGAAAAACTTCACCCACTCGGGGCGGTCCCTGTAGAGGCCGTGCTTCTTATCTGCTGCTTCCCGTGCTGCCCACCCCCGCCCCTTAGTTGCATTCTTGTCGCGGGTGCTGATGGGATCCGTCACCGTCACATCACAGATGTAGACGGCGCCATTGGAGCGGCAGCGGAGGGCCAGATCAGCCTTCTTCTCTTCCACTGGGCTGAAAGCGGCCGTTTCGATGTGCACCATGAAGCCTGCGTCGCGCGCCATTCGCGCGCATTCATCTCTTAGCTCATTATGCGTGTTTGTGCGCCCTCCCCCTGTCCCACATCGTAGCAGGTGGTTTGGGAGCCGCTTGTCTGGGATTTGCACCTTCTTCGAGCAATTGCAGACCCCGGGAGCCGCAAAGGGGAGGCCCAGCCGAAACTGGAGCGCATTGGCGTAGTGCGGAGCCTCAAGGTGTAGCGCGCGGTGCAGAGGCACCGCGTTTAACCAATCCCCTGCGCCATACCCCGACAGGGACATCATCCGCTGCGTGTGACCATTGTTCGGGTTCGGGCTCATCCCCCTCACCTCCTCCACTTGGACAGCATAGCGCTGGCCCTGGATAGCCGTGGCCAGCCCGTGCTGCAGCTTCCCTGCGGTTGGGGCTGTTCTCTCTGCTTGCAGGGCTTCCTGAGCTGGCAGTGGGAGCTCCTCCTCGCATTTCGCTAGCCATTCGGTCAAGGGGGAGGCCTGAGTGTAGGGACCGCGCATCACCTCGCGTGTTACTTCCAATGGGCCGGTGCATTCGTCCTCCAGGGAGTCCAGCAGGAGATGAGCCTGCGTGTAGCTGGCGAGGAAGCTGTAGCTTCCCTCCACGGACGGGTCTGTCAGTCCGAGCCCACCAAGCGAGACGGGGAGGGAGGCCTGCGCCCAAGTGCGTGAAATTTCCTCCTCCCCCCGCGGGTGGTTTATGCCGCATGCCGAGAGCAGGGTATCCAGCAGTCGCCTCCCCCATTCGGACCACTCCACCTGGGGCAGGGACGGAAGGGGAGTCGTGCGGGCCAAGTAAGACACTCGGCGCGAGACGCACCGAGACAGCAGCAGTCCCGCCAGCTGAGGCTCCATTCGTTCTATCAATCCCAGCGGCGCTCCCATCGCTTCCAGGCTGGAACGTATGAAGGCGGATGTGGCTGTTGGGGTGCCGATGTAACTGCCCAGCACTTTCAACCCGTCGCTGCTGAGTGGAACCCCCTCGGGCAGGGTGTAGTTCGCCGGCGATCTATTGGACCAGGCCCCGCACTTGGCGGGGTTGTGTTTGAGCCCGATTTCCGCCAGGAGGCTCGTGAAATGATCAAAAGCGGCCGCACATGACGACGGGTCCCCTAAGAAGGTAACATCGTCCGCGTAAGCAAGGCAGATGACATCTGGGTGCGCCTCCGCAACAGCCTTCAGAGCCGGATGCATGGCCGCGGCAAAAAGAAGGGGGCCGAGGGGGTCCCCTTGGCGGACTCCAGTCTCGCTGAGCAAGGGCGCGTGGTCAAAAGCTGCGTCCAGGTGAAGTGCAGACGGCTGGCCGTAAGAGAAGATCACCAAAGGCAGTAGCGGCTCCAGATGCGAGCCTTTCAGCGCTGTCGCTATGGCGAGGCGATCGACGCTGTTGAAGGCGTTAGCAAGATCCGCCTGCAGGACTAGCGCCTCTGGATTGGCCGAGGTGAAAGTTCTAACTATGTGAATCACTGCTTCTGCTCCCCCCGGCACGGCAACTCCAAACTGTAATGGTAAGAAAAATTCCCTAGCCGCTTCTGCCAGCTGAGTGAGCGCTGCTTTGGCTGCCAGTCGTAGGAGGCATTCGCCTATTGCTATTGGCCTTGTCCCTCCGTCTGGCTTATCGAGGGCTATCAACCGTGATGCGGTAAGAAGCCCCCCAACCTCCGTGCGCAGCTTCCCGCGAAGGATCGTGTTGACAAGCGCATGTAAGTGTGAGCTGACCGCCGTGTGCATCAGTGCAGCTTCGCGCAGGTGTTCGAACGTCGTGCCTGAGGGGCCAGCGCCAACCCCGTTTTCACACTTTGAGAGAAGCTTCATGAAAACTTCTCGCGACACTGCCAGGTAAGTGTCCGGCTCAGGCTGGGGCCACGGTGTGTCGGGGTGCTGGGCACGTGGGTGTTTGGCGCGAAGAGATTCCAGAACTTCTGGGGTCGGCTTGCTGACTGGTGTCGCTTCAAGTGCCATGACAGCCCTTCGCAGACTGCCACGTCGCGCCAGACCCTCTGCCCTGGAGATAACCCCCAGGTCATCCGGTTGGTTCCTGGGGGGTGGGGGCTGCTCCAGCGAATCCACCGTTTCCTGGTAAAGTGATTCCCACTCCCCTCGCAGGAATTTACGCAATCTGCTTCTGGTCGCCTTCCAATCGGGGTGCTTCGGCGACTGCTGACGCAATGTCAGGCGAGCGGCAAACAGCAGAACCGTCCAGGCTTGGGTGCTATCAGGGTCGTCGGCGAGTCGCAGCAGTGGTGTCAGTAAGACCATTGCGAAAAGCAGACGCAGCTTTTCCGGAAGGCGACGTGCTAGAGGTGCGTTGCGACTGTCGCGTAGATTGTCCAGATTCCAGTTACTGACACTTGCGAAAAGTGTGTCGTCCTTGGCGAGGGCTTCGGGCGATTTTTGGGGGAGGGGTTGTGGCTGCTGTTGGTTACCCCTCGCTGCAGTTCGTGGTTCAATCCCAGGTGTTGGTGGCGGGATTTGTTGGGCGGGCTGGTTGGCAGTGGTGTCAGGGTTGTTGGGAGCGGTTCGAATCTGTGGGGGTGGTCGCGGCTGGGTGGGTGCGTGAATGGAAATTGTTGCCGCGCTTCGGGCGTGGGTTGGGTTGCCTCTCTGCTGTGCAGGAGTCTGTGACTGGGCCTCCTCCGAGGCATTCGAGGTTGAGTCTGCTTCCTCCTCCTCCGCCTCATAAATACTCCCCGACAAAGCATCTGCTTCATTAGCTCTTACCAACTCCGTTAAAGCCCTAGCGCCGCCGTCTGGAACGCGTTCTCCGGTCCGCCTTCGCGCATACTCCTTCCACGACCTCGGCCTCCGGCACGGCCCTCGCGCGTCCGCGCATTTGCCGCCGCCGGCGGAGGATTCCCTCGACTCGCTCCTCCCGCGCTCTGGCGCGACCTTGCGTCCTCGATCGCCTGCTGCCGACGCGTTCGCTGTAATGGCGACTGAAGCGGAGAAGTCAGAGGTGGACCAAGGTCACACCGCTGAGAGTGCGATTGCTCCGCCTCAGGCCCCTGCTGCCGCTGTTGCTGTTGCTGCTGCTCCCCTACTCCCCGCGGCTCCCCCTGCTGTTGTTGCGACATCCGCGGTTCCGCTCCCGTTGTCGCCGGTGCCCCCGCCAGGCCTTCCGCACGCTGTTCCCGTGTCCGGTGCGCCGGTTCCCGTTGCGCAGCCGTCGCATGTGGCGCAGCTGCCCGCCCAAGCTGTCGCTGGGGGCCCTGCGCTGGGGACAGCGGTGGGCGCCGGCCCCGATTCTGCCGACTTGGTTGCCCCTTCGGCTGCGCCGGTGAATCCCGTCGCGCAGCGGCTCGCGGAGTCTCAGATACGCGCTGCCGTGGGGGGCAATGCAGCAGCGCATCGGGGGCGAGGTTCTCCTCGGCGTCGCCCCTCCTCGTCGTATCGTTCGGCGCATCGCGGAGGTCGCGGTGGCTGGTGGGGAGGTCACGGTCGCGGGCGCGGTGGGCCGAGCGAGATGCAGCAGCTGCGCGAGGATTTCCCGGGGATGCTCGCAGCGGCGATGCGCAACGCTCTGAATGGCGCACCGAATCTTGGTAGCTCCCCGGCTCCCGCCGCCCTTGCGCCCGCTCCCGCTCCTGTGAATGCGGAGGTTCCGGCCGCGCCCCTTGCTGCGCCTGCTCCGCACGCATCTGCGTACCCGCGGGCTCCTCCTCCTGGCGGTGACCGTGCTCCGCCTGCCTACGTTCGTCCTGTGTCTGCCTCGCAGTATCCGCCCCTGCCCTGGATTCCCCCTCTTCCGGACACGGGATTTGTGGGAGTGGGAGGCGGAGGGGCGAGGGGAGCCTTCGTTCCTCCTCGTCGTTTCGCTGAAGCTCCGTCCGTGCAGCCTCCGCCCCCTCTTCCCGTTCCGCCTGCCGCGTTGAGGACGGGAATGGCTCAAATTCCCACGGCGACCCTTGCGCAGCTGTGGCGCTTGGTGGAGTGCCAGCAGGCCCTGACACTGATTCTGGTGAATGCGCACTTCGCCATTCTCCAGAGCCCAGGGAGCACTCTCGGTCGTGAGGCTCGAGGAGATTGCTTGGCGGCGGCTGCGCAACTTGCCTTCCTCCTCCTACCCGTGCTGGGAGCGCCCGCGTTGGGAGGCGTTGCGGTTTCAGAACTGGACGGGACGGTCCAGGGTCTGACCGCACACCTCCAGGCTGGTGGCGGGATTGAAGCCGTAGGCGCGACCGCGTTAGTGGTCCAGCAACTGTGGAGGACCACGCGTGGTATCCTCGCGGCGCTGGAGGCCCATCTGATGTAGTTTCCGGCGCCCTCCGCGCGTAGACCCTTTGCATCTTGTGATCTAGTAGCTTGGCGCGTGGCCCATCGCTGTCTTGTGTAGTGTGATTATTGTTTTCCTTGCTGCTAATCCTTGCCACCCCGAAGCACGCGGCCGAAGGCCGCGCAACGCGAGCGCTGGCGGCCGCAGGCCGCCGGCGCGAGCGCCTACGAAAATCTGGAAACTGAATGAACTAATGAGGGGAAGAGGCCCCTACGGGACCCTTATATAGCCTAGAGGCAAGGGACAGAGGCAAGGGACAGAGGCTAAGTCCTCACTCTCTCTCGCTCTCTCTCCGCCGGAGAAAATCTGGAAACTGAATGAACTAATGAGGGGAAGAGGCCCCTACGGGACCCTTATATAGCCTAGAGGCAAGGGACAGAGGCAAGGGACAGAGGCTAAGTCCTCTCTCTCTCTCTCTCTATGTCTGTGCTTGGGATTGTGCATCTGCTGCTTGTCTGAATGGGCGTGATTGTATGCGTGAGCCGTACTGCGTGCATTTGTGTGTGGACGTGTGTGTATGTGCGTGCGTGTGTGCGTGAGTGTGTGCAAGGTGTGCATGTGCGTGTGCATGTGCGTGTATGTGCGTATGTGTGTATGGCTTTGTGTTTCTGTGTCTGTGCGTCTGCGCTTGTGCGAGGGCAGGGAGGAGATAGAGAAAGAGAGGGGAAAGGAGCGATACATGAAGCTGCAGGAGCAGGGCAAGACAGAGCAGTCTAAGAAAGACCTTGGTATGTTCATTAAAATAAATGTTAATCATGTTTGTGCCTCAACAGACACAGCTGTTGACCAAGGGAGAGGGGTGGGTGGGTGTGGCAAAAGGTGTGCTTATGCTTCTCCTCATGCGCCTCGCTTATGCTTCTCGCTTTGGCTTCATGCTTGCGCGTCTTGCTGATGCTTCTCTCTTATGCGTCTCGCTTATGTGTCTCATGTGCCTGAACAAATGGGCCATATGTCATTTGAGTTGACTCAAAAGTCACCTGAATGAATGAGCCATACGTGAGACGGGGACGGGTACAGGTGGACAAACTGAATTACCCTCCATTGCCCTCATAAGTTACGCTGCAGTTTATTTTTCCCGGTATTCAGTAACTCGATGTTTCTCTTTACAAGACACCATCGGTCTCCCATCCCGTTTTCTTTCCCAAGACCCCATTCCCCCGTCTCACTTAATGGTCTTCCCCCCTCTCCATGTACCGTTCCTCTCTCCTTCACCTTTAGCACCCCCCCACACACCCTTCTCACTCCCTTGTTTGCCTGGCCCTTTGTGCCTACAACAGAGCGCTTGGCTCTTATTCGCCAGCAGCGGGAAGAGGCGGCTAAGAAGAAAGAGGAGGAGCGATTGGGTAAGTACACTTTTTGTGGATATTGTTTTAATATTTTATTGTTCTTGTGGGTATTTATAGTTTTCTTTTCATCTTCCTGCTTCCTCATTTGTTCCTGGCAACTGGTTATTGTTCCTCTTTTTTCAGTAAGCTCGCCTTTCTGGATTGCTGATTCTCCCTCAATATCACCTGCGTGTGCAGCAAAGGAGGCAAAAAAACTAGAAGCTCGCAAAAGATGACAGCATGCAACAAGGTCTGCATGCTCACAGTTCAGTCAATCTTGCTGTGAACATTTGTCTCAATTCTTGTACTTTAGTTGTACCTAAATAACTAAATGGTTGATTAGGTTTCACATAATCCAGCTATTCGAATAATCATAACCCCTCCTGCTAAAACCCTGTGATTCGCGGTACTCCCTAGGCACACAAATCCGTGTGCGTTTCAACGGTGGTTTTCTGTCGACCGCTCCAGCATAAAACAGAGCATCCTCGGTTCGCATTTACCGTCCAATACGGCACTCTGGAAGACCCCGAAGTTCCCGAGGCGGGAGCTTAGATAACCTGCGCCCCGAGCGACACTAGCGATGTGCCGAGTGACATTAGATACGCCCTGAGCGATACAAGCAGGATATGTCACTGGCGGCGGTGATCTCCTAACGGACGGGTGTATTCTAGTTCCAATATCAAGGCTAGAATGGCGAGCTCGATTCTTTCCCCGTGCGTCGCCTTATTACCGGATAACGAACTTTCTCGTGTTTGCGGTGTTAGTCAAATAAGCGGGATCTCGGCACTGCACGGTGGATGTTTCAGGTCTGTTCGCGATGGTTCCCGCCTCTCATCCTGCCACGTCATTGTCCGCCGCCATCTCCGCGGATGCTGTCAACGTGGCACCCTTCCATTAGCGCAAAAAGGGAAGCCTAGCCGGGTTGCTGCTCGAGCTGAGTCAGCAGGATCAGGGAGTGGGAATGACGGCAGAAATGACGCCGCAGAAACCGTCCGAGAGCAACGGCAATCTGAAATTGTTTCTGACGTCGAGCCTATCAAGGTGGAGGTCTCGCCGAACCTAACCATCGCGCTCGGCGACGAGGTTCGGCGGCTGACAGCAGGTGCGGACGGAGGTTCGGAGGGAGCAGCCAGGGAGAGCGGTCTAAGTCTGATCGAGCAGAATGAGCGAAGAAGGCAAGCTCGAAAGGCCGCTGCCGCCGCCGCCGCTGCTGCTGCTGCTGCTGGCGATTTCTCTGCTTCAGCTGATCTTCCTTCTACAGTCTCGGTTGTAGATTCGTCAAGAAGTGGGGAGGCACCAGCAGCAGCAGCAGCAGCAGCAGCACCAGACTCAACAGCACCAGCAGCAGCAACAACGCCAGGTGAAACGCGCGCTTTCATCGCTGACGAGGCGGCGTACGTATCCATGGTGAAACGCGCCGCGGCTGCCACGTCAGCTTGGCGACAGGCGGTGCCGTTTCCCCTGAGTGATTTCTTTTTCGATCCTGACGGGGTGGGCGTTAAGAGGGGGAGGGAGGAAGAGGAACGGCTTATTCATGACATCTATTTCAAGGTAAGCGTGATTTGCTGTTGTGAACGCTAAGAGGTCTCAAACTCAACTTTGTATTACACAATTCATACATGTATTGTGGTGTATCATGCAATGTATGTCCTCTGCTTCTCCTTGGATAATCCTTGTGCCGATGTGATGGGGGAAGCGGGTGGGTGGGAGAGGTCCAGTAAATATTGTTGCTTAGTTGGGAGGTTCATTCCATGTTAAGTCTAAACACACAAAATGACGCTTTTTGAAAGGAGGAAAACAAATATAATATTATTTTTCTTCTTCTATGGTGCACCCTCGCCGCGTGCAACTGTGCAGGCTGAGAATGGCCGACCTTTGGAGCAGGTCGACACAGAAGCTATCAAGGCAAAGGTGTGGTTAATTTATCACAGGCCACAATGTTCCAGGGCACAGTTCTCCAGAGCATATGATGCGATGCCTCCTTGCAGTGCATGCCCCGTGATTTGCCTCGCTCTTATCCTGGACACCCGAGCCACGGGCTCTTTTTTCTCCTAACCTCAATCCCCCTGCGCTGGCTCCTCCTGAGGTATTTTAAACGACAATTCTTGCTCTGGCTTCCCTGCATCTCTCTTCTCCCCACTTGTACCGTCAAGGTGCTGACATCAACAGGGTTCGAGGCTGAGTCAGCAGTGAATCCACGTCAGTGCCAGCAAGGCGTGGTCTTCTATGGCCGCCTTTCTGCTCCTGCTCCGTCTGTGTATTCCACCATTCAGGTAAGGCCCTGTTGCTCTGGCTGTCAAATGTCAAAGTGTGTATTCCACCATGTCCACCATGGCCACCATGTCCACCATGTCCAGCGTGTATTACACCACTCTCTGTTCGCCTGCATGGTCAGCAATGCACTAGCCTGTGTTCATGACACCCGTGACTCAGCTCTGCCACCCCATCACTCCCCGCCCAATCATTCTCCCCGTTTCTCTGTTCTTTTCTGCTCCTGCTCCCCTCCGTCCACATTCGTCCTCTTCCCCTCCTTCCGCTTTCATCCTCCTCCCTTCCATTTGCCTTCCTCCTCCCCTCCGTCCGCTCTCCTCCCCCCAGGCTCGCCTCGACACCTCATTCCCCGGCCTCTGCGCAGTGCTCGCTAGAGACGGCATCATCCGGCCGGCAATCAGCGTCCTTATTGCCCCACGGCAACACCTCCTCTCCTTCTCCCTCCCCCGGCCCGTCTTCACCTCCATTTCCTGCCTCACTCTCACGCTCTCCCTCCTCATCCTCTCCTCCTCTCTCTCTGTCGACCCCACACTCTCTCCCACTACCTCTCCTCTCCTCACTGCTGCCGCTGTGCCACTTGGCGTGCTCCTAGTGGCTGCTGCCGGTGCTGGGGTAAGGGCTGTAGCAGCACAGCAACACGGGGTATTACAAGTCCTCGACACCCCTCTCCCTCTACCCTCCCCTGCCTTCGGGTTGTTCGGAGTTCTATCCCCGTACAAAGGGTTACTTCCAAACCGTACCGTACTCCTCGATCTGTCTCTCAGCAGTGCCGTTGCCTCCTTCTCTGCATCGGCTGCTCTCATCCTTCTCGGTCTCCTCCAGTCTGATACAATCACACCTGATGTAGTCACCATTCCAGCTTCCACCTTCGCACACTCCCATATCCTCTCCTCTCTCGCCTCTGACCTAGCATCGGCCGTACTCGTTACTAGCCCCGACTCCTTACAGTCTACAGTCTCCACAGGCGCTTCTACACTAGATCTCGCAATAAACCCTCTCATTCTAGCAGGACTGCTGGGGATCAACCTCTCATCTCTCTCCTTGCTACCAGTGGGTATTCTCGATGGGGGTAGGATAATCACGGCACTGTTTGGAAGGAAGCAGCAGCATGCAGTGTCCATGGGTGTGTTAGCAGCAGCAGCCGTTTCCCTTGTGCTCAGACCAGACGGACGGGAAAATGCAGCGACGTGGTTGGTGCTGGCGATGGTTCTGCTGAAGCGAGATGATTGGTTTCAACGGGAAGAGGTTTCAGAGCCGTCGGGAGTGAGGAAGCTGGTTGCGGCTGCGCTTGTAGCTGCTTCCATATTGATATTGTGGCCTTGGTGCGACATGGCATGAGATGGGTGACAGTGTACGCAATATGGCATCCAGTAGGGTACTCCACATGACATGACCATATGTACTGTAGTGTGAAGCCATGTTCCAGGAGAACTAGTTCATGTGATGCGTAGTATGTTTATGTGTGCTAATGAAATGAGAAATGGCATGGATCAAAACAACACTGTCGCATGAGATGAATCAAGAGAAGAGATGCTTCGTTTAGCATGAGGGAAGGGAGTGTATTGTGTCCCCACCCATTATCATGTCAATGTAGCCTCACCTCCTGCTGTTGGTCTCTATTCTTCTGTCTTTCATTGGGCTTTGGGTGAACCAATGAGGAAATCAGGCCCCCTTTCCCTCTCCGATCTACCAAGAGGTGCCCCAACAAGGCCAAGTACTTTTGCAACGACGCCAACAGAAGTCTCCGCCAACAGAGTCGCAGAGGGTAGACGGCAGATACCCGAGTAATAGTTACCATACCGGTATTCTTGGTCAGTAAGTTCAGCAACATAGCCATGCGCTAACAAGATTACAGCTGCATGTTGATTCAGCGTTACCGTAATGTGGTACTATGTACAGGGACATCAACAAGTTGACTTTTGAGTCGACTCAAAATGTGGTACTATGTACAGGGACATCAACAGAGCTCTATTGCCCCATAACATGCTAGGCTAAATGGAAGGAGCTCCGAATCGGGCTGTCGTAGATCAATTGCTGCACTTTAACCGGCGCTAGTTGTAGTAAGTCCAGCTAAAAGGTGTATGTTGGTAGCATTCAAGGTGCGGGGCTGCAGCAAGCTGTCTCTCCATGGCCCCTCGCCTACTAACTAGGGTAAGCCGGTATGGGAGGTTAAGCATCAGGTGAGTCCTGAGGGGCTGGTCTCACACTCACTGTGCCTGCCTCCAGCAAGTTGCATGAAGATTGTAATGAATCTAAACCTACAGGGGCTACCATAGGCCATGTATGGGGTGAGTCTCAGAGGGTGGGGTGGTGTGACTCTCAGAGGGTGGGTCGCAGAGCCTCGGGTTCCAGCAGGTTGCACCTAGAAGAGTTTCAGACTGGAAAGAACCTAAGCTTATAGCGGGTATGAGAGGGTATGTGCGGGGTGGCTCTCAGAGGGTGGGTCGCAGAGTGCCCGGTTCCAGCAGGTCACGGCAGGACGGGTGTCGCTTCATAAACGTCTCCTTTCAGGAAGGGAAGGAAAAAGGAAGAGAGGCGAGGGAGTGACTGTGAGAAGGGAAGGGAGGAACTGCTGCAACAATGGGTGTGGTGCAGAGGAACACTGCACATGGAGACCGAGGTTCATACAGGTGAATGAAACTACCCAAAGAACAGAAGACCACCACCATCGGAATCATGTAGAAGGCCAAGTTGAGATGCCCCCCCAAACCCCCACCACGTCCCCCTCATTCCCAGACCCCCACCCCCACCTTCTCTTGGCCTTGTTGTTAACAACTACTTAAAAGGCATCCAGGACGTAAGAGCACGTGGGTGGCACCTGGGTGTCACGTACCTCAACATAAGTGCACGTGGGTGCAACGTACCTCAACATAAGAGCACGTGGGTCGCACGTAGAGCCCGTTCTCCTTGGCGTACTCGCACGCGGCTTCGCACAGACGCGCCGCGAGGCCCTCGCCACGTCGGCTTGGCGGGACATACGTGTGCGTGATGTCCATCACGCCGCGTTTCACGCCGCTCGTCACGCCGCCGCTCTTCCCGGCGCTTGTTGCTACGGAAGTTTCCGACGACGCGGCGGCCTGGGAAGGCGAGAGAAGGTCGTATTCGGCGTACGCCTGGCCGTCGCGCGTCATGAACTTGTGCGACGCGCTGTCGTGCACGATCGTCGCATGCGATTCGCGGGGCGGCTCTTGCGGCAGGGCTTGCGACGCCATGCTGCGAATCACTGCGACTTCGCCTCCTCGCGACTGGATTTCGCGAATCCCCGGTGTAACTACTTGCGATGATAGCACAGGTCTGGCTGCTGAAACAAGTCGGGGTGTGGTAATATTCGATAGAAGCGAACGCGACAGAGAACGAAGAAACATGGCTACTTTCTAAGCTGGGGTGATTAATGGCGTAGTATGGGTCTATGCAAAATTGATATGACTTTGCGGCACTGCTTGCAAATGGCTTCTGAAACCCGGCAACTAAAGACCAGCTAACAAGCAGCAATAGTTAGACATAGTAGAGAACCAACTAGCAATTTAGGATCTAGGGCCTAGGAGGCGACGAGGATAAACACAGCAAGAAGAGCTCTGCAAATCGGCTGATGTAAGAAAAACTCCCAAGCGAGGAGTAATAAACTTGCTACTGCCACTGGTGGTTCTGGTCTAGTCCGTGCTACCGCCTACACACTAGGTCGAGCAGAAAAACTTTCGTTGAATGAAGCATCCCGGTTTTCATTCCTGACGACACCATTTCTACATTCATGCATCCCAGAGCGCATCGACCAGCAGACGCGCAGCGCATGCAGATTCTCCCTTCCGGTCAGGCTGAACTTTTGAGGAGCCTCCAAAGCCGTCACGGTCAGGGTCGAACGGTCCAATCCAAACCACCCATGCACGGCAGCGCGCGATCTCCTCCCTCCCGACCCCCCCTTCCCTCCCGTCGGTCAGGTCACACGAATAGCTAGGCTGTCCTCTTGTGTGTCTCTTCTTTTTCATCGACCTTCGAGTCCGCTCCGCTCCGCTCCGCTGAAAAGTCGCTGGCCTCACGATTCACATCACATGATCACTTAGTCTCAGTATCACATCATCTGAAGATCACATGCTGAGGTATTTATTATCATCAGAGCACGGAGCAGCTCTTCTTCTCCCACGTACCGTCCTCCTTGAGTCCCGGCCATGGCTTGCACGCGCACCCCTTGTCCTCCGGAATGCTCTTGTACACGCTCTCCACGTGCATGCCGCACCCATCCACATGTACTTGCCGCACGCCTTGCACGGGGTCTTGTGACACATCTTGACCACGTGGCAGCGGGGTAAGCTCGCTGTTTCAGATAGAAGCGGCAGGAATACGGACGCCCGGTGTGACGTGACGTGACGGATTGTTGAAGCGAAATTGATGCTGATACAAGAGCCGATCGACGATAACGACTAGGAGATCTGAAGATGTGTCTCTCAATCTTAGTAGTAGTAATGGGTGTGTGAGGGAACTCACGTATAAATAGAGCACATGAAAACTGCATTGAAGGAATTGCGTAGGAATCTACCTCCTGCCATTTCCTCTGCACGAAACTTCGAGAGAAATTGTTCGCGGATAGCCAACGTTCTCGGTTGTACTATCCGCGTTACTGACTGATGCCACCGATTGTTTGAACAAGTCAAATAAACCGACTCAAGTCCGTCTGTCTTAATTGCAAAACAGTAGTCCGTAATTTTAGAGGGTGTGACTTGTCTAACTGGGCAGAGTACAAGTGCTCATACGATGGACAGGACTGAGCCACTGCTATCTCAAGCCTACTCTTGGCTGGAAAAACTGAACTTCACATCACAGCTCAGCTCAAGAAAGCTTGAGGCGGATGGCCCTAAACCCTTCAGAGCAATATTGTTTGCTGCAAAACTCTCTTCAGATTGAAGGCCAAAACTGTGCTTGGAGGTTTCCAGCTGGAGGCAGAGATCACGATCATGCCCAAAGGGCAAGCAGGCACATGGAGAATGCACCCAAGAAGAGCGACACGAACCCAAGGAAGTACAGCACCGGAGACTTGGGTGTACCCTCGTCGCTCTCGTCAAATGCAGGCACTACGAGGTCAACGAGGCCGTTATAAATGAGGATACCGGCCGAGATGGCATTGAAGGACCCCTCGATTGCTAGCGCAGCCTTGCTGGAAGGGTTGTAGGAGGAGTAGATTGCGAGGCCGATGACAACACCGACAGGCGTTGTGAGGGCGAAGAGGAGGCCCATGAGAATTGTTTTGAGCTTGGAGAACTGGCAGGGGATGAGTGTTGTGCCGAGACTGATGCCCTCAAATCCCTGTACATGCACAGCAATACAACAGGAAGACAAATAGAGTGATAAGGCTCTGAACGGGACTAGAGAAGAGTTTGGTTTTATTGGAACCATTTTTATGGAAGCACGGGTGATTCGTGAGGTAGATGTGTTGCAGATCTTACCTGATGGAACATGAGGGCGATGACGAGACTTTGGATCTCCTCCACGTCTTGTGTTGTTCCAAGGGCGATTCCAATGAATATAGAGTGGAAGATGATTCCAGCTTCAAGTGTGTACGACGTTGCCCGGTAACCACTGACGATAAGCGCCTTCTCATCCTCTTCCGTGTTCAACCCGCACTCTATGCACTCGCCCTCTGCTGGTGCGTGTTTTTTCTCGTTATTGGACTGTAGCGATTTTAGAAGAACCTTCTTCAAATAACATTCCACCACGAAGGAAATGAGGGCCGCGTAGAGAACGAAAATGGATGCCCACGGAAATTCTTCCGCAAAGCCCAGGCACGGATTGGAAAGCGCCGCTTGTGCTCCTGCAGTTGGGGTTTTAGGAGAATTAGGAGATCATGTGAAAATGAGTCTTACGAGACGGGCTACGGTGCGTCCCATGCACCAGCCCATTCTCTATCCCTCCCGATCAGTCTTTTAATTAAACGTCCAACATTCCTTTTTCTTTTGAGTGAGGATGAGTCTTCAGTTAGAAGCCCTTCTTGTTTGAACACGATTATTGCTTATTTGTCAATTGATCAAAGGCAATAGAATATCTAAACATGCTATCAATAGTAGCCCAAGTTAACAAAGGGGATTGTTGAAACTCTTTAAGACCAGTCACAGATGAACGCACCTGGAAATATGTGGACGATCGCGACGGCAAGCACGACACCCGCCGCGAATGTTCGGAAGAAGAAGAGGATCGATCGATGCTGCTTCCGGAGAAGGAAAGGCAAAGCGAATCCGATTCTGTAAAAGACGGGGAATCGAGGGTGTTTTAATTGAATTGAAATGGCACGGCGACGTACACGCGACAATGTGAAAGACACAATTGTCAGAAGCGTCCCCAAAATGAAAATCAGACCGTCCAGAGACATATCAACATGCGAGACATCAATTTTCTTGCTACTAATGGTACAGACGAGCAGCACGTTAAGTGTAGAGTAGCTAGGAGTGCAATGCTTACAAGCTGCACACGAGAATGCCGAACATTCCGCCGATCCTCCATGAGAGCGCCTCCGCTCCGCTACCCCCGCTGACCGCGCACTCCAGCTCCCCCGCTGGCCCCGGCGCAGGCTCGTCGTGGTGGGCGCCTCCCTGCGCGGCGACAAAAAGAAGCGGCGGGACCAACAAATCAATAAAAGGTTAAGGGGACATTTGAGGCACCTCAGAAGTCCTCAAAAGTCCCTGCGCGGCGACAAAGGGACGCGGCGGGACCAACAAAGCAATAAAATGTCAATGTGGAAGAGTCAAACCTGGAACCCGGAGAGTGGGAGGGGAGGAGTTAAAGGGTGAGGAGAATATAGAGGGCGTGAACGGGATTGGGAATGGGAGGATGGAAGCGGACATGGAGAAGAGAGGGGTGTACCCTGCTTCTTGGGTGGAAAAGGCGGGGAGGCTTCGCACCATGTCGTCTGTAGCGATTGATGCTGGGTCGGTAATGGAGCAAAGTACGGCGCCTGACACGCAGGTGGTACCGAGTTGGTACTAATTGGAGATTCGTAAGTCGACGCGCGTGGATCGCGAAACAAGGATAGTATGCGATCAGGAAAGGTGCTGGTGATTTCCTTCACTGAGAGAGAAGTTTCGACGACAAGTGCGGACCAGGAACGAGGAGTGCTTGGCGGAAGGAACGGGAGAAATAGAGGCCGAGAGAAAGACACAACGATTCCTGGTCAGGAAAAGCAATTTCGAAAGTGAACATGTATGGCCATAATATGGGCCCCACAAAAAGTGATCCACTGAGGAACGCTCTTGCGCTGAGGGCGGCGAAAACTGATCCACTGAGCTACTTGATCCATTCCACCGAGTCGCGGCCATAGGTTCTGCATCCACTCCACATTCTCGTAGGCAGGTGCTTTTCGGTAAGATGAATGTGGCTGCAGTTGTGGCGGGTGGAGAAATTGGGCGCTAGCCGGGGGGAGGAAGGGGTGGTGGAGCGCATTTTGGGATGGAAAACAGGAAACAAAGGGGAAGATCGGGGGGAATTGCGCCAAGCTGTAGCGTTGGCGGAAAATGATTGGGGAAGGGATGGGCGAAAATTCGGGGGGAAGTGTTGCGGAACGGTGAGTGAGAGGCGGAGGATGCTGGGCAGGTTTGACTGGTTGGGAGGTCAGGTTCGTTTGTGGGTCTAAAGAATGGCTGGGATTGAGCTGAGTTTTGAAATGATTGGATAAGATGCTTTTGGTTGTCACCTCCTCCAGGTACAAGGGAGTCGCGAAGGCAGGGGAAGGTTCATTCATGGCGGGTTCCTTCCCGAGCGGGGAGGGGCCGCCACGCCATACCTGCCCAATTGTTGCTGACGTGTTCTAGAGCGGTTGGATTAGCGGCCTGGTTCTTTCCTTTGTTCATCGACTCTGTAAAGGGTTTTGAGTTGAGCACGCACTGTTACTGAACTTCTTCGCTCCCAGCGCAACTTCAGCGCTTCTGGCGCACTGTTACTGCTCTGTTTTCGCTCACAACTCAGAGTTAGCTCCTTTCAACGCAGTTTTGATTTCATTGGTCCACACATGGCACATAACTACAAACCGAACCTGTGGATACTGTCACAGAAAACAGTAACTACTTTTATTTGTTTTTAGTGCTAAACATTATATATACCCCTTGAACAAAGGTATCGACCCTAAACACCTTCCGAATGGTGTTTAGGGTTGATGCTCTATCGAGACAAGCCATCGAAAAAAATATACTCGTTGGGAAGGGCATCAACCCTAAACACCTTGTCTCCCGGTGTTTAGGGTTGATGTCTCCCTCGAAAAACATGCCACCCGATAGGGTTTTATGTTTTTGTGCCCGAAATGCTTTCGTTTGACGGTTCTGTGGCCGCCAACCAAAGCAAAGTTATCGGCCCGTCAATTCTACGACCAATGAAAGCAAAACTGCGTTGAAAGGAGCTAATTCTGCGTTGTGAGCGAAAACCGTGCAGTAACAGTGCGCCAGAAGCCTTGTAGCTACGTGGGGAGTAAATATGATCAGTAACAGTGCGTGCTCAACTCAAAACCCCTCTTTAAACTGCTAACAGCAGACTCGGTGAATTTTATTATGGTACACCTCCGAAATCACGTCTGGGTCGGAGCGTATTTTCGTAAATGAAAGGAATACTTATGTAAATCGGATATTGTCTTCTTGTTGGCACAATCATATCAATCTCGTGAACCATAAAAGACAGTTATGTGAAACAGGATATTATACAGGTAATATTACATTGAAATCAGGCTAATGCAATATTTGAAATCATATGCTCCAAAAGAGTGAGAATATATCATTGAATATATATATATATACATATGTATCTGGGAATGATTTTTCACTGTCGTTGGTTCCAAATCTTCCAGTTCCTGAATCCTGCTATCATGAATGGCTCCTCGTTGGGTTACGGTACTGACACCTCCTTCGCGCCACATTTTCGTTCGTTTGCAGCCAGCAGCCCTCGCTTTTGGAACAGGCAGCAATGTCCCCTGGTTCTGGAGCTGATATTGCGGGCTAGCGTAAATCACGGGCACGGTAACACTTGACCTTGGCAGCATATAGATACCTGTAAGTTCGTTAGTCGACTAGCGTCGTTGGCGTTATTTAGTAGGGGGAAACGCGTGCGCAAGACGCCGTGATCAACAACAGCCATAGTTCGTGAGCGAATACTGGTTACAACATTGTCAGTCGTAGAAAACGGGTTTCGCTCTCTGTCAGTCGCAGAATTTCAGTTGTAGATTCTCGTCCGTCGTCAGTTGTAGGATCCTGGTTTCGCTACTGGCACCTGCTAAGAGAGCAAGCCGGCCATCTCGTAGGCAAAATACTTGTTACACTAGTGTCAGTTGTAAACTACGGTTTTCCCTCTCGACAGTCGCAGAATCCCGGTTTCGCTACTGTCACCTGTTAAAGAGAGCAAGCCGGCCACAGAAAAGGAACAGCGGAAGGGCTTTTGTATTTCACAGCCTTGTCAAGTATTTTCGGCGAATGGAACCTGGCGTCAGCGGTGTATGGACCGCAGCCGCTTAATTCTGAGGATCTTGGTTCTTTTCTTCGAAGTGATTGGTGCTTGTTACAAGTCCACAGCTGCTTAACTTCTGGCATGGCCTAGATAACTCGCTGCTGACTTGTCACCCTTCTAGTTCCCGCCATGTCAGCAGCCAGCCGTCGCCGAAAGAGCATTAATGCGCTGGCGTCCCCCACTCGCGTGTCGACACGTCGGACAGCACGAACGGTCATCGACTTGGCGTGTGATGATGCAGAAGGCAGAGAAGGCAGTCTGGAAAGGGAAGAGAAGCAGGGTAACCGTGACAATTGCGAGAAAAATGGTCACCGTGAGAACGAGGGTAACGCGGAAAGGGACGCGGGAGGAACGGGGGAAGAGGATGGAAGGGAAGGCAAACGCGGCTTGTCTAAGAGCGGGCGTGGGGACAAGAGGGGAAGAGGCAGAGCACGGGGGAGAGCCGGGAGGAGGGTGTTGGCAGGGAGGAAGGGAAAGGACAGTGATGCTGACCGCGATGATCAGGTTGATAGAGGCGACCTGGAGGAAGACCAGGGGAACCAGGTTGACCACGTTGACCTGATTGACCAGAAGGGAAACCAGGGTGATCAGGACGACCAGCGGGTTGACCTGATTGACCAGGGCGACCGGAATGATCAGGGCGACGGGGGTGGTGACGGGGAATCTGACAACTTGGAAGTTGCAGGGATGCAGGGGAGTCGAAACGAGGACAGTTTGGTGGTAGATGATGACGTGGCACGGGGAGGTGATGACGTGGCACCCTTGGATCGTGTCCAGCCGACAGAAAGAACCTCGGATGACGTGACAGCGTCACGGGTCAAAGATTGGGCTGTGGGAACCTCGTACCGATGTGCGCGTGGGATAGAGCCTCCTTCCCACTGCAGATTCGTGCTCGCTTTGGCGGCTCCTGGTGCTCCTCACAGCAAACCTGTAGAAAAACCTGGGAACCCTGACAAGAGAGTTGTAGGGACGTCTGAGCGTTCTGAAAAGAGAGCTCTGGGAACGACTGGGGACTCCGAGAAGAGAGTCTCCGGGTCGTCTGGGAGATTAGGGAAGATTCAGTCACGGAGGCGTGGCAGTGCAGCAGGCCTGGGTAATGCAAGCCGCGAGGAGAGGGTTAGAAGCAGAAGTTTGACGGAAGCAGAAGAGATGGGAGAGGAGGAAGAGGTGCGAGAGGAGGGAGAGAAGGGGGAGAATGGGGAGAAGGGGGAGAAGGGAGGGGAGAAAGGGGGGGAGGAGGGGGAGAAGGATGGGGAGGGAAAGGAAGGGGAGGAGGGAGAGGTTGGTGAAGGGGCGGATGGTGATGCGAGAGAAGATGGGTGTAGCCTTAGTGAAGATTCTTGTAAGGAGGATGGGGATGAGGTGGAGGCGAAAGGTGGCTGCAGGCTTGGTGAAGATGCTTGTATGGAGGATGGACGGGAAAGGGACCGGGGGGAGGAGAACGAGGTGGAGAGGGGCCGAGGTGGAAAGGAGGGGGGTGGAAAGAAGGGTACTGAGAAAGAGGGTGGTGGGAAGGAGGGTGGTGGTGCTTTGGGCGGTGGGGGCAATTGCAGTGCGGTTGCTGGTGCTGCTGCAGCAGGAGGGGGAGATGGGGAGGGGGGGGGTGTAAAGGTGGGAGAGACCGGGGGAGATGGGAAGGGGAAGGAGGATGAGCAGAGGGGAGATGAGGAGGCAGATGATCAGGGAGGGGCTGTTGCGATTGTCACAACGCGTGCAACGTCGCAACACACTGCAACAACAGTGCCACACACGATCACTGCAACAACGCCGCGTCGCAATCGCAACATCACTGCAACAGTGCCACACACTGCACCTGCGGTGCCTGAGGCAGGAACCAGCACCCAGCAGCACCGTGCGCTTATCGAGTCCGCTGGTAACGAGAATGCTCTTATCGATCCGTCAAGTAGCCAACAGCAGGGCGCAATTACGGTGGCATCATCCCCCGAGGGCCAGTGTGCTGCTGCTGCCACCCCACACCCGTGCTCCAGCCTCCCGTTTGTCTTCACCAGGGACCGATGCCAACAGTGGTTGGACCGGTAAGTTGCTGCCGGATTTTCGAGGTGCCTAAAAAATGGGCCAGTGTGCTGCTGGTGCCGTCCCGCACCCATGTTCCCCGCTCCCGTTTGTCTTCACCAGAGACCGATGCCAGCAGTGGCTGGACCGGTAAGTTGCTGCCGTACGAATTGTTAAACTGCATGCATTTCTCCCAGAAAGCTCACCATTCCTTGCCTTGCCTTGCCTTGCGCCCCCACCTCCCCCCCCCCTCTCCCCCACACCTGTTTGCCTCCTCCTTCCCGTGTGACAGTCCCTGGTGTTATGAATCGTTCCATTGGTAGTTTCATGGTAGTTTTGCTTTCATTGTTCGCTCTCCCACTCATTTTTCCCAAGTCCACCATGTGTTTCCCTTCCTTTGCTTTCCCCTCTCTGCCTTTTTCTCTCTCGAAACCCCCCTTCCCGATCCCCTGTTCTGCACCTTGGCAGGGTTGAAGGGCGGGCGTTCACATATCCCTCCAGGTATGTTGCGGTGTGACACAGTGGTGCGCGGTTCAAGGTGGTATTGTCTAGGTATCTATTGAGTCAACTCGGAAGTCACCTCTTATCCCACCCACCATGTATGTTAATTTCATTCATACACAGCATGGTGCGTGGTGCACAGCACAGTGGTTGTGCAGTGTAGTGTCTAACTATGATGCGCATTGTGTGAGATAGTGTGGTATGGTATGGTGTCAACCTCTCTCTTCCCACCGCACCGCCCACCATCATGCCCCTCCCACCATCTCTTCGTGCATGCGTGTGCAGGCAGCAGCTGGGTGCAGTGGAGGTGAAGGCAGCGGACTTGCAGCGGCAGGGGGCAACAGAATGGAGTGAAGTGAAGTCAGACCGATTCTTCCCTCCTTCCCCCCCTTGCTCACTTCCTTCTAAACGACCTCCCCGTACGTCCAAGCAGGCAGCAGCTGGGTGCAGTGGAGGTGAAGGCGGCGGACTTGCAGCGGCAAGGGGCAACGGAATGAAGTGAAGCCGAGCCTTCTTCTTCCTGCCGTCACACCTCTCTTGATCCCTTCCCTCCCTCTCTCCATGCAAGCAGGCAGCAGCTGGGCGCAGTGGAGGTGAAGGCAGCGGACTTGCAGCGGTTGCTGCCAGGGGAGTGTTTGAACGACACGGTCATCGACTTTTATGTCAAGTAGGTGTGTCCTTGTTAGATTCTCAGGTAAGTGTGTCCTTGATTGCATGTCAAGTAGGTGCGTCCTTGCTTTCACTGGTCGTGAAGAAGAGTGGCAGTACGACTAAGGGATGCCTGTAGCAAATGGGGTGTTTGAACGACACGGTCATCGACTTTTATGTCAAGTAGGTGTGTCCTTGATTTGAGTTCAAGTAGGTGTGTCCTTGATTTGAGTTCAAGTATGTGCTGTCCGCAAGTTCCCTTGTTTCTGTGCCAAGTAGGTAGGTAGGTACTAGGTAGGCTTGCATTGCATGTCTCAGTCTCAAATCTGGTGTGCACGAGAGTTCTTTCGCGGGCCTATGGAGAAGTTGGTCCCGAGGCCCGCGAGAGTTCAACAATGTTCAGAATCAGTCACACCTGTCCCTCTGTGTCGAATCATTAGGTTCCTAAATGTTTGTTCGCATTCGGTTATTGCACCCATCCCCATGTGCCCTTGTCTAGGTTCGTTGAACACACGATGCTGCAGGAGACTGGTAAATTGACTGAGTTGTTCCGTTGCCTGTTACTCCCCCCCCCCATGCGCCTTTGTCCAGGTTCATTGAACAGACGATGCTCCAGGCGACTGGTTCAATGACTGAGCTTCCATCGCATGTTCTTCTCCCCCCCCATGCGCCTTTGTCCAGGTTCATTGAACAGACGATGCTCCAGGAGCCACAGCGGTCGCGGTTCCACTTCTTCAGTACCTTCTTCTCTACCTCGCTCGTTCGCGCCCAGGAACGATTCGTGAGTGCCCATCCTGCTGTGCTCTGCTGTGCTATGCGGTGCTGTGCTGTGTGGTGCGGTGTTGCGCTGCACTGTGCTCTGCTGTGCGGTGCCATGCGGTGCTGTGCTCCAGCGGAGCCACAGCGGTCGCGGTTCCACTTCTTCAGCACCTTCTTCTCCACCTCGCTCGTTCGCGCCCAGGAACGATTTGTAATTGCCCTGCCATGCGTGCTGTGCAGTGCTGAGCTGTGCCGTGCAGTGCTGTGCGGTGCGGTGCGGTGCTATGCGATGCAGCGGTTGCGGTTCCACTGTCTTCAGCACTTTCTTCTCCACCTCGCTCTTCCGCGCCCATGAGCGATTTGTAATTGCCCTGCTGCGGGATTCGTGAGACTTTTGAGTCGACTCAAAAGTCACCTCGGGATTCGCGAGTGCCCTGCTGTGGGATTCGTGAGTGCCCTGCTGCGGGATTCGTGATTGTCTTGCTGCTGGTTGGTATTTTGAGACGCCTCCATATTCATTTCCACCTCGCTTTTCTGCGCCCAGCCAGGAGCGATTCGTAAGTGCCCCTCTGCTGTGCTGTGCTGTGCTGTGGCTCTCTGTGCTGTGGGTTGCTGGGCTGTCTTGTGCTGTTCTCTCCTGTCCTTGGCATGCCGTGACGTTTCTTGCAGTGTGGTGTGGTTCAGTGCGGTGCGGTGCGGTGCTGTGTTGTGCTGTGCAGTTCCCCACGCCCCCATCTCTCCCCCTTCCCCCTAACGCCACAAGCTAACTCAGGAGCCGCACAAGCTGCACCATTCCCCCTCTTACCAACCTTCCGCCCAACCCTCACCACTCCCCTCTTTACCCCTCGCCAGAAGCTGACTCAGGACCTGCATGAGCTCATGCGGCTGACCAGGTGTCCTTTTCCTTGCCCTTACCCCAGCCCTCCCCCCTTCCCTCCCCCCCGCCTCTCCCCTCGCCAGAAGCTGACTCAGGACCCGCATGAGCTCATGCGGCTGACAAGGTGGACAAGAGGCACGGACATTTTCTCCAAGGACTTCATCGTCATCCCCTTCCACGAGGAGTAAGTCCTCTTGCTCCCTCTGGTCGTCCTTGCTTCTCTCTGGGCTATCTCTTTGTCCTTGCTTGCTTGGCACGCCAACCCATGCCAAGCCAAGCCAAGCCAAGCCAAGCCAAGCCAAGCCGCGGATCAAACGAGGTGGACAAGAGGCACGGACATTTTCTCCAAGGACTTCATCGTCATCCCCTTCCATGAAGGGTACGCACCTCTCTTGTCTGTCCTTGCTGTCTCTCCCCCCTCTCTGGTTCCTCTCTGTCCGTCTCTAGCTGTGCTTGCTGCTCTCTGTGGTCTCTATGAGTGGCTTCGCTGCTTATCCCTGCTTGCTCCTCCTTGGTGCGCCGCGCCATAGGCAAGGTGGACAAGAGGCACAGACATCGTGTCTAAGGGAATCATTGTCCTTGGCCCCGCGCCTTCCCCTCCCCTTTTTTCTTTTGAGTCGACTCAAAAGCAGGCTCTCTGTGGTCTCTATGAGTGGCTTCGCTGCTTATCCCTGCTTGCATCCTTCGTGCACCGCGCCAAGGATAGGCATCTCTATGAGTGCCTATCCTTGGTGCACCACGCCATAGGCAAGGTAACCAAGAGGCACAGACAGACATCTTGTCTAGGGGAATCATTGTCCTTGGCCCAGCGCCGCGCCTTCCCCTCCCCTTTTTTCCCCTCCAGCTCCCCTCCAAATCCTTACCCCCACACACCGGTCTTCTGTCATCTGTGCAGGTTTCGCAGCCATTGGAGCCTGGCAATCATATGCTTTCTCAGCAAGGGCGTGAGGAAGACCTTTCACCCTCTTTTATTCTGTATGCCCTCACACCTTTTGGCTGTGCAGGTTTCGCGGCCATTGGAGCCTGGCCATCATATGCTTTCTCAGCAACGATGTGAAGAAGAACCCCGACTCTACTACACCCATGCCCATACGCCCTCTCCCGCCTTGTCCCCCAACCCCCACACATGTGTGTGCAGGTTTCGCGGCCATTGGAGCCTGGCAATCATATGCTTTCTCAGCAACGATGTGAGGAAGACCACCCGTAAGGCGCCAGGAGAAAGCAGCAAGGCCCCAGGAGAAAACGGCAAGGTGCCAGGAGTTTCAGGAGAACACAGCAGAGAAACACGAGGAGCAGCGAAGTTAAGGGAAGAGGGCAGCGGGGGAAATGGGGGAGAGAGGGGGAATGGGAAGGGGAGGGGCAATGGGGGAAAGGGGGAGAGGGGCAGGGGGGGTATCGGGGGCAATGGGGGCGTGGGGAGGGGGAGGGGGAAGGTGGGCGCTTTCCAGAAGATCCCGAAAGGAAGGAGGGCGAATTTGAAAAGAAGCAGGGCGGATATGAAAGGAAAGGGGTTGAGTGTGCAAGGGAGGGGGTGGCTTGGCCAAAGCAGGGAAGTGCGAGCACTGTTGGATGGTGGGAGAAGAAGTGTGGGAAGCGAGAGAGGTGCTGACGTGGCAGAGGAGGGTCAGGAGGGCGGTAGGAAGGGCGATGGGAAGGGGAGAGGCAGCAGTGCTGGTAGAGTGAGGAGGCTTGCTGACGTGGCAGAGGTTGCAGTGTCGATGAAGGGAGGGGTGTTGGAGATAGAGGGGGAGGAGGATGAGGAGGGAGGAGTGGGGGAGGAGGAAGATTAGGAGGAAGAGGAGGGGGAAGGTGGAAGGGTGGGGGTTGAGGAGGAGGAGGGGTCTGGGAAGGAGAGACGAGGGGAGGGAGGGAAGAGTGCGAGAGTTGCGAATGTGAACCAGCTGGTCAACGAACCTGGTGATTCTGACAGGGGAAGTCAAGAGAGAGTCACCACCAGGGGTACCAAGCAGATTGCTGGTAATAATAGTCCCCGTGTGAGGGTGTTGAATCAGGATGGTGCTAATAGTCCTGGTCAGAGGGTGTTGGATCTGCAGGGTGGTGATATTCCCAGTCCCAGCATAACTCTTGAGTCGACTCAGAAGTTTGCTGGTAATAGTCCCGGTGGTGTGAGGGTGTTGAATCAGGATGGTGCTAATAGTCCCGGTCAGAGGGTGCTGAATGAGCAGGGTGGTGATATCCCCAGTCCCAGTCCCAAGGTGCGCGGTGGCAGGTCGCATGTGAAGCGAAGGCGGCTTGATGCGTTTGATGGGGGTGCGATGCATGATGGGTCTGGGGATAGCGCAATGGGGTTGGGCGGCACGGGCGGCACGGGTGTTGGCATGGCGTGGGGGGTGAGGAAGCAGGTGCAATCGCGCAGCAGGGTGAGGGGTAAGGCGAGAGAAGAAGCGGGAAGGGAGGGTGAGGAGGTGAAGGAGAAGGAGAATGAGCAGGAGGAGAAGAAGCAGGAGGAGGAGAAGGTGGAGAAGGAGGAGAAGGAGAAGAATGAGAAGAAGGAGAAGGAGGAGAAGGAGGAGAAGGAGGAGAAGGAGGAGAAGGAGGAGAAGGAGGAGAAGGAGAAGGAGAAGGAGGAGAAGGAGGAGAAGGAGGAGAAGGAGAAGGAGAAGGAGGAGGAGGAGGAGAAGGAGGAGAAGGAGAAGGAGGAGGAGGAGGAGAAGGAGAAGGAGAAGGAGAAGGAGGAGGAGGAGGAGAAGGAGGAGGGGATTGGTGGTGGTGCAAAGGGGGTGATAGACGTTGGTGGGAGCAGTGAAATGGAAAGGCGTGGAGGGGCAGATAGTGTGACAGGCGGGGAGGGTGGAGGAGAGGGGGCCGGGGATGTGGGAGAGAGGTGTGCAGGGGGGTTTAGTGTGGCTGGGGGAGGATGTGCAGGGGTGGGGGTAGGGAAGGCTGGAAGGGAGGAGGAAGGGAAGGAGGAAGTGAAGGAGGAAGGGAAGGAGGAGGAGAAGGAGGAGGGGAAGGAGGAAGGGAAGGAGGAGGGGAAGGAGGAGGGGAAGGAGGAGGGGAAGGAGGAGGGGAAGGAGGAAGGGAAGGAGGAAGGGAAGGAGGAGGGGAAGGAGGAGGGGAAGGAGGAGGGGAAGGAGGAGGGGAAGGAGGAGGGGAAGGAGGAGGGGAAGGAGGAGGGGAAGGAGGAGGGGAAGGAGGAGGGGAAGGAGGAGGGGAAGGAGGAGGGGAAGGAGGAGGGGAAGGAGGAAGGGAAGGAGGAAGGGTTGCAGGAGCATGGGAAGGTAGGAATAAGAAGGGATGGTGGGGAGGTCGTGAAGGAGGGTATGAGGCTAGAGTGGGATGATGTGAGGGGAGTGTGGCGGCTTGGTGGTGGTGAGAAAGAGGCAAGAAAGGGTTTGGAGAGGCAAGTTGAAGGCGGCAAAGCTGGGGAGGAGAGGGGAGTGGAAGGAGGGGAGGGTGGTGGGGAGGAGGATGGGGCTAAAGATGAAGCGAGAGAGGAGAGGATCGCTGGAGAGAAGGGAAGTGTAGGAGAGAAGGGAGGTGCAGGAAAGGAGGAAGCTGTAGGAGAGGAGAGAGAAGGGGAGCGAGGTGGGGAACGAAAGGAAATGGCGGAAGGGGGGCCAGGGAAGAAAGGGGTGAAAGAAGAGGGAGGGATGAAAGAAGAGGGACGGATGAGTGGGGGGGAGGAGGATGGAATGGTTGTTGGAGAGGTAAGAAGTTCCGTTGGGAAAGGTCAAGGACAGGGAGTTGTGGGTGTAGAGGAGGGGGGAGAGGAGGGAGGAGAGGAGGGGAGGGGGGAGGGCGGAGAGGAGGGAGGAGAGGGGGGGGGAATGGAAAGGGGAGAGAAGGAGGAATTGGGGGGGAGAGAGGAGGGGGTATTGGAAGGAAGAGGAGAGGCGAATGAGGAGGGGAGAGAGGAAAGGAGAGAGGAGGAGAGAGAGGAGGGACGAGAGGAGGGGAGGGAGGAGGGGCTAGAGGAAAGGAGTGAGGGGAAAGATGATAAAGAGGAAAAGAAATCCGATAAGATGGAGGGGAAAGAGGAAGGTCGAAAGGAGGAGAAAGTGGGGGCAAAAGAGGAGGGGAACGAGGATGTGAAAGCGGAGAGGGAAGAGGAGAGGAAAGAGGAAGGTGGAGAGGAAGAGAAAGTGGGGGAGAAGGAGGAGGGAAATGAGGAGATGAAAGAGGTGAGGGTAGAGGAGAGAAAAGAGGAGAGGAAAGAGGAGATGAAAGAGGAAAGGAAAGAGGAGATGAAAGAGGAAAGGGAAGGGGAGAGGAAAGAGGAAGGTGGAGAGGAAGAGAAAGTGGGGGAGAAGGAGGAGGGGAATGAGAAGATGAAAGAGGTGATGGTAGAGGAGAGAAAAGAGGAGAGGAAAGGGGAGAGGAAAGAGGAGATGAAAGAGGAGAGGAAAGAGGAAGGTGGAGAGGAAGAGAAAGTGGGGGAGAAAGAGGAGGGGAAAGAGGAGGGGAAAGAGGAGAGGAAAAAGGAGAGAAAAGAGGTGAGGGAAGAGGAGAGGAAAGGGGAGATGAAAGAGGAGAGGAAAGAGGAGAGGGAAGAGGAGAGGAAAGAGGAGAGGAAAGAGAAGGAAGAGGAGGAGATGAAAGAGGAGAGGGAAGTGGAGAGGATAGAGGAGAGGAAAGAGGAGAGGGAAGAGGAGAGGAAAGAGGAGAGGGAAGAGGAGGTGAAAGAGGGGAGGAAAAAGGAGGGCAAAGAGGAGAGCAAAGAGGAGGGGAGAGCGGAGAGCAAAGAGGAGAGGAGAGAGGAGAGTGGGGTCGAAGAGGGGCCAGTCTTGGCTGGAAAACTGGTTAATCATGGAGGGGCGGCTGTAACAGATGCTGCTGCTGTAGCTCCAACCGCTGCTGTTGCACCAACCGCTGCTGTTGCACCACCTGCTGTTGAACCAACCGCTGTTATAGCAACAATGCTGTCTCCATTGGAACAAACTCTGTCTGCTACAGCTGCTCCTGCTACAGTCTCGCCTGCCACAGCTACTCCAGCTGTAGCTTCACCTGCTACTACTGCTCCTGCTACAGTTGCACCTGCTACACCCACGCCTGCTACACCCGCCCCTACAACAGCTGCTGCTACAGCTGCCCCCACTACAGCTGCCCCCACTACAGCTGCTACAGCTGCCTCTGCTACAGCTTCCCCTGCTACAGCTGCCTCTGCTACCGCTGCACCTGCTTCAGTCGCAGCTGCTACAGTTGCCTGTGCTACAGCTGTTACAGCTGTGCCTGCTACAGCTGCTACTGCCGCAGCTGGACCCGGCATGTCTGCTATGCAGCTGCTGATGGGAACAGCACGGAATGGCCCTCAGGCCGTGAGCAAGGCAGGTGCACACACTGTTGAGATCGCCCGTGAGGGCACCAAGGAGGGGACTCGTGAGGGCAGTCGCGAAATGACTCGTGAGGGAGTTGGTGCTGCTTCTGTTGCTGAGGTGATTCGGGAGAAATGTGAAGTGGGGCACGACAGTGAGGGCGGAAAGTCGGTGGTGTTTGAGTCGAGCCCAGAGGTGTGTAGAGAGGTGGGGAGTGGTGCGAATGGTAGTGGTCCAGGGGAGATAAGGGAAGGGGAGATGGGGGATGGGAAAGATGGGAAGGGTGGGCAAGAAGGGGGGGGGATTGAGGAGGGAGTGGATAGGGAAGGGGAACAAGACGGAAGGTCTGGGAAAGAGAGAGGAGGCGTGGAGGGGCAGGTTGAACTGGGGGAGGCGGTATCTGATAGTAGCGAGAGTCTTGGGGCTGCTTATATGGGGTATGGGGAGGGAGATGAGGGGACGTGTGAGGGGGAAAAGGCAGAGAAGGAGACAGAGGAAGCTGGAATAGTCGGTGATGTGATTCAAGGGGAAGAGAAGGTAGATGAGGGGGGAAAGGAGGTAGGGGAGGGAGAGGAAGGGGGGGTGGAGTGGGAGGAAGGGGAGGAGGGAGACGAGAGAGAGGAAGAGGGGGAGGAGGGAGAGGAGGGGGAGGAAGGAGAGGAAGGAGATGAGGAGGGAGAGGAGGGAGAGGAAGGAGAGGAAGGAGAGGAGATAGAGGAGGGAGAGGAGGGAGAGCTAGGGGAGGAGGGAGAGGAGGGATCAGAGGAGGAGGGAGAAGAGGAGGGAGAGGGAAATGGAGGGGAAGAGATAGAAGATATCCAGGCGGATGGGGGGGAGGAAGGGGAGGAGGAAGGCGAGGAGGAAAACGAGGAGGAAAATCCGGAGAAGGAGGCTGAAGTGGATGGGTCGGGTGGTGGGCAAGTGAGGGAAATAGGGAGCTGGATTCCTGGGTTGGGTGATTCTGATGCTGATGATGATGGGGATAATGGGGATGATGATGATGTGAAGGAGATAGGTTTCAAAACATTTCGGGGAGACACGGGCAGAGCAGGGGGCAGGGGGCGAGCGGGAACGGCAGCGCAAATGAGACGAGGAGGAAGGAGGGGGGTTAAGGTGCGGGGCAAAGGGAAGGGAAAGCAGCAGAGGGGCACAAGGGGAGGGCAGGTGAAGTGGAGTATGGAGGAGGGGGAAGAGGAGGAGGAGGATGAGGAGGGGGGGGCAGGGGGTTCCGGTGAAGAGGGGTTGGAGCTGGTGACGGGCCCGAATGGTGCCCGAGAGGCCACCATTCTGTACCTTGACTCGCTGCCAGACAGCTCCAAGTCACATGCCATATACAGCGCGCTCAAGTTGTGAGTTCTTTTGCCCTGGCTCATGTACAATTGAGACACATGCACGCACACACCCAACCCAGCTTGCCTTGTCCTCATGGATTGGAGCTGGTGACGGGGCTGAACGGCACGCGGGAGGCCACTATTCTGTACCTTGATTCGCTACCGGACAGCTCCAAGTCACATGCCATCTATAGCGCCTTGAAATTGTGAGTTCCCTATCTGTGTGGCTCGGGTACGATTGGAATATGCACACGCACGCATGCAGGAACGCCCGCAGCACGCACGCACACGCATGCGCGCGTACACACACACACGTGCACACAGCAATTCGTGTGCCATCATCTACAGTGCCTCTTCATGTACCCTCTCCCTCTGCCATGCGTCTCTGTTTTTGCACGCCCCCACCCAGCTATCTGCAGGCTGAGTGGATGAAGAGGAGCAAGGAGCCGTTGGATCCCAAGAAGCCGCTGCAATCTGGGCCGTTCAGCAAAGTGCGGGGGAAGAAAGTCAAGGTGGGTTGCTCTTGCCTCACTCATTGCTTCTGAGAATTCTCTGAAGCACAGGCATGCGTGCGTGCTTGCAGCTATGAGCTTGCAGCTATGAGCTTGCAGCTATGTGCTTGCAGCTATGAGCTTGCAGCTATGTGCTTGAGACGTCTGAAAACTCGATTGCAGGGTCGCCCTCACTGAACCCATCTGGAACCATCTCCCACACCACACTCACTCCCTCGCGCTGCTCGCGTGGCTTTGCTCCCTTCTCTCTGCTCCCTTCTCTCTGCTCCCTTCTCTCTGCTCTGCACCTAATTTTTCTCTGCTCAGGTGCCAGCACAGGACAACAACTATGACTGCAACTGAGTTGACTCCTCTCACTGTGCTTCCCTTGGCCTGCTCCCCTCTCTCTGCTCTGCTCCTAATTTTCTCTCCTCAGGTGCCAGCGCAGGACAACGACTATGACTGCGGCTGCTTCATCCTGTGCTACATTCAGAAGTTCGCTCAGATGTGTGATCCCCCACACACTCTCTCCCCTCGCCCTTCTATGCCCTGCTGTCCTTGTTGCATCTCCCCAGGTACCAGCACACGTGATTTGAGACGTGATTTGAGACGTGATTTGAGACGTGATTTGAGACGTGATTTGAGACGTGATTTGAGACGTGATTGATTTGAGACGTGATTTGAGACGTGATTTGAGACGTGATTTGAGACGTGATTTGAGACGTGATTTGAGACGTGATTTGAGACGTGATTTGAGACGTGATTTGAGACGTGATTTGAGACGTGATTTGAGACGTGATTTGAGACGTGATTGATTTGAGACGTGATTTGAGACGTGATTTGAGACGTGATTTGAGACGTGATTTGAGACGTGATTGATTTGAGACGTGATTTGAGACGTGATTTGAGACGTGATTTGAGACGTGATTTGAGACGTGATTTGAGACGTGATTTGAGACGTGATTTGAGACGTGATTTGAGACGTGATTGATTTGAGACGTGATTTGAGACGTGATTTGAGACGTGATTTGAGACGTCATTTGAGACGTGATTTGAGACGTGATTTGAGACGTGATTTGAGACGTGATTTGAGACGTGATTGATTTGAGACGTGATTTGAGACGTGATTTGAGACGTGATTTGAGACGTGATTTGAGACGTGATTTGAGACGTGATTTGAGACGTGATTTGAGACGTGATTTGAGACGTGATTTGAGACGTGATTTGAGACGTGATTTGAGACGTGATTTGAGACGTGATTTGAGACGTGATTTGAGACGTGATTTGAGACGTGATTTGAGACGTGATTTGAGACGTGATTTGAGACGTGATTTGAGACGTGATTTGAGACGTGATTTGAGACGTGATTTGAGACGTGATTTGAGACGTGATTTGAGACGTGATTTGAGACGTGATTTGAGACGTGATTTGAGACGTGATTTGAGACGTGATTTGAGACGTGATTTGAGACGTGATTTGAGACGTGATTTGAGACGTGATTTGAGACGTGATTTGAGACGTGATTTGAGACGTGATTTGAGACGTGATTTGAGACGTGATTTGAGACGTGATTTGAGACGTGATTTGAGACGTGATTTGAGACGTGATTTGAGACGTGATGTGATTTGAGACGTGATTTGAGACGTGATTTGAGACGTGATTGATTTGAGACGTGATTTGAGACGTGATTTGAGACGTGATTTGAGACGTGATTTGAGACGTGATTTGAGACGTGATTTGAGACGTGATTGATTTGAGACGTGATTTGAGACGTGATTTGAGACGTGATTGATTTGAGACGTGATTTGAGACGTGATTTGAGACGTGATTTGAGACGTGATTTGAGACGTGATTTGAGACGTGATTTGAGACGTGATTTGAGACGTGATTTGAGACGTGATTTGAGACGTGATTTGAGACGTGATTTGAGACGTGATTTGAGACGTGATTTGAGACGTGATTTGAGACGTGATTTGAGACGTGATTTGAGACGTGATTTGAGACGTGATTTGAGACGTGATTTGAGACGTGATTTGAGACGTGATTTGAGACGTGATTTGAGACGTGATTTGAGCATCCTCGCGAAGCATCCTCGCTGCGCCGGCAGCCCTTCTCTCTCTCCCTTACCACCACCCACCTTCTTTTCCTTCCCCGCTCCCCTCCACCACCAGCTGAGCAACGACTTGTTCGAAGCGTGTGAAGCATCCTCGCTGCGTCAGCGCCTGTTTTACATTGTGGCAGGCATGCTGCTGCCTCACCACCCTTTGCCCCCTCGCCCTTACACCACCGTTTTTTTATTCCTTCCCCCCTCCTCCCCCCCCAACACCCTTTCCCTTCCACCACCAGTTGAGCAACGACTGGTTTGAGGCGTGTGAAGCATCCTCGCTGCGCCGGCGCCTGTTCTCCATCGTGGCAGGAATGCTGCTGCCCCAACATCCCCCGCCGCAACCGGTCTCACCCCCCTCCCAACCCCTCCCAACTCCTTCTCAACCCATCTCACCACCTTCTCAACCAATCTCCTTTCCGTCACCTGCCTCGCTGGCCCTGCCCATTGCGCCACCTCCTCCAGCCTCCCCTCCCTCTGCTGCTCTTCCACCTAACGTTGGAACCTCTGCTGCTGGTGCACTGAAACGCATAACAGCAGCAGCAGCACGGGCAGCAACAGCCGCAGCAGCAGAAGAAGAACAAGCAGCAACAGCAGCTGGAGCAGCAGCGAAGGAAGAAGCAGCAGCAGCAGCAGCGGAACGAACAGCAACAGCAGGAGCAAAAGAAGCAGCAGCAACAGCGGAACGAACAGCAACAGCAGGAGCAAAAGAAGCAGCAGCAGCAGCAGCAGCAGCAGCAGCAGCAGCAGCAGGCACGCCCATCAAGGCGAAGAGGGGCAGAGGCAGGCCTCGCAGGCAAGTGGAGGACACAGTTAGCCTTGCTGACGCACATGCTGCTGATGCGGGCACTGCCGGTGCAGGTGCAATTGCTGCTGTGGGCGCAGGCACAACTGGCGCAGGCACAACCGGTGAAGGCGCTGGTGCAAGCACTACTGCTGCAAGTGATGCTGGTGCAGGTGTAACTGCTACTGTGGATGCAGGTGCTACTGATGCATCTGATGGTGCTGCTGGTGCCAACAGTACAGATCCTCCAGAGTCCATTCCAGAAGCAGCTGATGCGGGTGGAGCAGGCGCAGGTGCATCTGGTGAAGGTACATCTGGTGCATGTGGCCTTACCAAGGAGAGCAATCTTCTGCCAGGAAATGCTGGCACACCCGAGGCTGAGGGTGGGATTCGAGCCAAGGCTGAGGCCGAGGCTAGAACCGAGGCTGAGGCTGAGGCTGGGGCCAAGCTTGGCGCCAAGGCTGGGGCCGAGGTTCGGGCCGAGCCTGGGGCTGGGGCTGGAGGTGCCGGTGGTGCAGTGGGACTGGATGCTGTGAGCAGAGGGGATGGTGGTGCTCGCATGGCAGGCAGTCTGGGCCAAGATGACACCCGAGGCGATACGCAAGACGACACCCAAGGCGACACTCAAGGTGACACCCAAGGTGGCAGCAGAGGGGGTGGTGAATCGCTGGTTGTGTTTGGTAAGGAGCCGTGGTCTGCCTGGCCCTGGCCAGCAGCGGAGCTATCGACTCTCCATGGCACTCACCCTCTGTTGCTCTGGCCTGCCACCGTTGTGGATTCTGATGGGCCTGATAGTGCTATTGCTGCTGCTGCTGCTGCTGCTGCTGCTGCTGCTGCTGATGGTCGTTCTTATGATGGCTGTGTCTTGGGGGTGTCGTCGGGTGCGCAAGAAAGGGCATTGGAGGATGGTGCTGGGTTAGTAGCGCCTGTGCTGGTTGCTATCGTTTGGCAGGATGAGACGAGTCAGAACCCTCCACATGAGACGAGTGCTGGTGGGAAAATTGTGGCACAACCAGGTGTCGAGAGGGGTGCTGATGGGTTAGCAGGAGATGCAGTACAGAGGAAGGAGAGAGATGGAGTGGGGGAGATTGAGAGAGAGGATGGGGAGGGGGAAGAGGAAGAAGTGGGAAAGGAGGGAGAGGGAGAAGGGCCAGTGAGGGAAAGAGCACGAGGGGGGACGAAGCGGAAGCGAGTGAAACGCCGAGCCGGGTGGAGTGGGAGAAAGAGGGTCCGAAAGGGGGTGAAAGGGCCAGATGGGGAGGGGAAGAGGAAGCAAGCGGAAGGGGAGGAGAGGAGAGAGGAGAGGAGGACAGAGGGGGAGGGGGAGGAGAGGAGAAGAGAAGCGGAGGGGGAGGAAAGAAGGAGAAAGGAGGAGAGGGGGATGCATGTGCGTGTGGTAGGAGGTTTGGGAGAAGGAGAGGTGGGAGGGGTGGAAGGAGAGCGAAGGGAGAGGGGCAGGAATGGGAGGGTAAGATGGGCCCTAATAAGGCTTGCAGCTTCGAAAGAGGTGATTCGAATGGGGGGGGCAGAAGATGTGGAGGAAGGAGAGGTGAAGGTTGGTGGGATGGGGGACGAGGTTGAGGAGGGGCTGGGAGGGTCAGGCAGAGAGGGTGAGGAGGGGCATGGAGTGAATGTGGTGGGAGGTGTGGAGGGAGGTGTGGAGAGAGGTGTGGAGGGAGGAGCAGGGGTGGCGAGAGGCATTACAGCAGAGGAGATGGAGGCAGCAGCAGGTGCTGCAGTGGCAGCGGCAGCGGCGGCAGCAGCGGTAGCTTCCATGGGAGAGTTTGTGAGGCAAGCACGCGCTGCTGCCGCCGCTGCTGCTGCTCCTGCTGCTGCTTCGACTGCTGCTGCCGCTCCTTCTGCTGCTGCTGCTGTTGCTCCTGCTGCTGTGAAGGAGGAGAATCAGCAGGAAGAGAAAGCAGCAGCAGAAGCCAGAGGGGCAGGGATACTACCACGGACGGTCATGGAAACCACTCTTCATGAATCCGAAACTGGGACGTTTCCGGAGCTCGAATCAGGCTCGGTGCCGGAGCAGCTGCTCAGCTTCGGCTCAGGCGAACCTGAGTTGGACCAGCTGGTCAAATTTGGGTTCTCGAGAGCACCACAGGGGCAGGGGCAGCGGCGGCGGCTGGCAGGGTTTGCTGAGCTGCTGAAGTGGAATGGAGGGAGCGGTGGTGCTGAGGCGATGGAGGAAGTCGGAGCGGTTCAGTGCGGTGCGGAGGAGGGGGTGTGGCGGCAGTGGGTTGAGAGGTGGAGGGAGGGGAGAGGGGATGGGAGCAGCAAAGCGGGGGAAGGGATGGTTGGGACGAGGGTGGGAGGAGAAGGGGTGGGAGGAGATGGGGTGGAAGGAGTAGAGGCAGGAGGAGTAAAGGCAGGAGGAGTAGAGACAGCGGGAGAAGACGGAAAAGTTGATTGGGGTGAATCTGAAAATGTTGATAGGGGAGAATCTGAAAAAGTTGATAGGCTGACAGCAAGGGACGGGGAGGGGGCAGTCATAAACAAGGGCGGGGAGGAGATGGAACAAAAGGAGGAGGTGGAGGATACAAAGAAAGACGAGGGAGGTTCTATGGAGGGAGATGGAAAGTCTCCTGGCTGGAAAAGGGAGGCTGAAATCAATCCTGTGAAGGAGGAAGGCTGTGAAGGCCTGCTTGAGGGTGGGCGCGGGGATGGGGATGGGGATGGGGATGGGCGCGGGCATATGATTGGATACGAGATTGGGTATGGTATTGGGCATGAGATTGGGTATGAGATAGGGTATGGGATAGGGCATGACGTGAGGAGTTTGGATCAGGGGGAGGGGACGGATGAGGTGGAGAAGAGCGGGGAAGAGGTGGAAAGGAGGGGGGAAGAGGTGGAGAAGAGCGGGGAAGAGGTGGAAAGGAGGGGGGAAGAGGTGGAGAAGAGCGGGGAAGAGGTGGAAAGGAGGGGGGAAGAGGTGGAGAAGAGCGGGGAAGAGGTGGAAAGGAGGGGGGAAGAGGTGGAGAAGAGCAGGGAAGAGGTGGAAAGGAGGGGGGAAGAGGTGGAGAAGAGCGGGGAAGAGGTGGAAAGGAGGGGGGAAGAGTTGGAGAAGAGGGGGGAAGAGGTGGAGAGAAGGGGAGTGAGCGGGATGGATTGCCAGCCTTCGCATGGGCGTGAGATGGAGGGGAGGGAGAGCGGAGAGGTGGGGAAACAAGAAGAGGAGGGAAGACTAGATGAGGGGGGAAAGGCAGAAGAGGGTAGGAGGAATCAAGAAGAACAAGGGAAGCAAGAAGCGGAGAGCAGGGGAGGTGGGGAGAGAAGGGTGGATCAACTTGAGGGTGAGGGAGAGATGGATGAGGGAGGAGAGGCAAGGGAAGAGGAGAAGGATGAGGGAGGAGAGGCAAGGGAAGAGGAGAAGGATGAGGGAGGAGAGACAAGGGAAGAGGAGAAGGATGAGGGAGGAGAGGCAAGGGAAGAGGAGAAGGATGAGGGAGGAGAGGCAAGGGAAGAGGAGAAGGATGAGGGAGGAGAGGCAAGGGAAGAGGAGAAGGATGAGGGAGGAGAGGCAAGGGAAGAGGAGAAGGATGAGGGAGGAGAGGCAAGGGAAGAGGAGAAGGATGAGGGAGGAGAGGCAAGGGAAGAGGAGAAGGATGAGGGAGGAGAGGCAAGGGAAGAGGAGAAGGATGAGGGAGGAGAGGCAAGGGAAGAGGAGAAGGATGAGGGAGGAGAGGCAAGGGAAGAGGAGAAGGATGAGGGAGGAGAGGCAAGGGAAGAGGAGAAGGATGAGGGAGGAGAGGCAAGGGAAGAGGAGAAGGATGAGGGAGGAGAGGCAATGGGGGAGGAGATGAATGAGGGCGAAGAGGGAAGGGAAGAGGAGAAGGATGAGAGAGGAGAGGCAAGGGAAAGGGAGAAGGATGGGGGAGGAGAGGCAAGGGAAGAGGAGAAGGATGAGAGAGGAGAGGCAAGGGAAAGGGAGAAGGATGGGGGAGGAGAGGCAAGGGAAGAGGAGATGGATGAGAGAGGAGAGGCAAGGGAAGAGGAAAAGGATGAGATAGGAGAAGCGATGGACAATGAAAGGAGAGCTGCAGCTGGTAACAGGAAATGGGCGAGTGAGGCGAACGGGATTAATGAAGAGGGTGAGGATGGAAAGGAGGTGAATGAAGGGGATGAGGAGGGCAAGGGGGTGAATGAAGAGGGTGAGGAGGGAAAGGAGGTGAATGAAGGGGATGAGGAGAAAAAGGAGGTGAATATAGAGGGTGAGGAGGTGAATGGAGGGGGTGAGGAAGGCAAGATTGAGAATGAAGGGGGTGAGGAGGCGAAAGAACTGAACATGGTGGATATAACGGGTGAGGAGGAGGATGGAGGAGAGGAAAGGAGAGCTGCAGCTGGTAACAGGGAATGGGCGAGTGAGGCGAACGAGATTAATGAAGAGGGTGAGGAGGTGAATGACGGGGGTGAGGAGGCGAACGAGATTAACATGGTGGATATAACGAGTGAGGAGGAGGATGGAGGAGAGGAACAGGGAGGTAAAGGTGGTGCTGGTAGTGGGAGAAGAATAGACGGGGAAGGGAGAGAGGTTGAGTGGGGAGCAGCATTGGAGAAGGAAGAAGGTGAGCAGGGAGAAGGAGAGGGCATGCATATGGTGGGTGAACCAGAGGGGGAAGCAGTGGGAGAAGCAGTGGAGGAAGCAGTGGAGGAAGCAGCGGAGGAAGCAGTGGAGGAAGCAGCGGAGGAAGCAGTGGAGGAAGCAGTGGGGGAAGCAGTGGGGGAAGCAGAGGGGGAAGCAGTGGGGGAAGCAGTGGAGGAAGCAGCGGAGGAAGCAGTGGAGGAAGCAGCGGAGGAAGCAGCGGAGGAAGCAGTGGGGGAAGCAGTGGGGGAAGCAGAGGGGGAAGCAGTGGGGGAAGCAGTGGAGGAAGCAGTGGGGGAAGCAGTGGGGGAATCAGTGGAGGAAGCAGTGGAGGAAGCAGAGGAGGAAGCAGCGGAGGAAGCAGTGGAGGAAGCAGCGGAGGAAGCAGCGGAGGAAGCAGCGGAGGAAGCAGCGGAGGAAGCAGCAGAGGAAGCAGTGGAGGAAGCAGTGGAGGAAGCAGTGGAGGAAGCAGTGGGGGAAGCAGTGGAGGAAGCAGTGGGGGAAGCAGTGGAGGAAGCAGCGGAGGAAGCAGCGGAGGAAGCAGCGGAGGAAGCAGCGGAGGAAGCAGCGGAGGAAGCAGCGGAGGAAGCAGCGGAGGAAGCAGCGGAGGAAGCAGCGGAGGAAGCAGCGGAGGAAGCAGCGGAGGAAGCAGCGGAGGAAGCAGTGGGGGAAGCAACGGAGGAAGCAGTGGAGGAAGCAGCGGGGGAAGCAGTGGAGGAAGCAGTGGAGGAAGCAGTGGAGGAAGCAGTGGAGGAAGCAGTGGAGGAGGAAGCAGTGGGGGAAGCAGTGGAGGAAGCAGTGGAGGAAGCAGTGGGAAGGAAGAGAAGGCGGCTTGATCAGAGTGTTGCTATTAGTTCAGGGTTTAGGGTGAGAGATAATAGTTCTGATAGTACCGGCTCACAAATCAAACCTGGCGCTGCTGTTTGTGGTTCGGAAACTAGTCCTGGTGACCATCCACGTCATGACGGTAGGCTTGGTAGGAATAGGCTCGGTGAGAATAGGCTCGGTGAGGATAGAGCCGGCAGCAGCAGCCTCGGTGTTACCAGCAGCAGGCCTGTGCGAAAGGCTAGCCTCGGCAGGTTCGGGTTCGGCCGAACCAGACTGGAAGAGGGGCTCAGGTTCGGCGAGGAAATGTCGCCGGTGCTGGTGCTTCACAGGCTCGATAGCCATCCCAAGGCTCCCCGAAGCAAACGGCCTCGGAAGTCCAGGTTCGGAAAAGAACCGCAACTAACCTGTGAGGAGTCAGGTTCGGTGAGGAGGTCCGGCAGAGGTTCGGGGGGTCGCAAGAGAAAGCGGAAGAATAGTGCTGGAGAAAGCACCACAGGCAATCGTGGAAAAGCTATGGCTGACAGTAAGGGAGGGGCTTATAACGAGACTGAATCAGGAAGAGGGATGGGTGAAGGAGTTCTGGCACAGGCGGCAGGGAGAGAGGAAGGGGGTGAAGGGGCAAGCGCAGGAGGGGGAAGAGGTGGAGGGATGGCAACAATGACAGGAGGTGGTGTTCATACAGCATGTGTCAGGGACCCTCTTGCTTCCAGTCTGCCTGCTGCCTCGGCCTTTCCACACCGCTCTCCCCTTCCGCTGCCCTTGTTGGTCCCTCCTTCCCGCCCGCTGCCCCTGTCTGCCTCTTCTCCCCGTCCTCAACTCTTGGTGCTTCCGTCACTCGTTCCTCTGCCGCCGCCTCGTCGTCTTCCCCGCCCCACTGCTTCTGCTGCTGTTGCTCCTGCTCCTCCTCCTGCTGCTGCTGCTGCTGCTGCGTCTATAGATGTTGTTTCTACTCCTATAGATGTTACTGCTACTCCTGCCACTCCTCCTCCTGCTGCTGCTGCTGCTCCGGCTCTTGCTCCTGCTGCTGCTCCCGCTGATTCTACAGATGTTGCTACTCCTGCCTCTCCTTTACCACACTCCCCTCCATCCCTCCACTCCCCTCCAACCTCCCACCCTCCTCCATCCCCCCACCCTTCCCCATCTCCCCATCGCTCTCCATCCTCCCACCCTCCTACGTCACCAACTCCTATTGCCCCTAGCTCTCCTCCTCCTCCTGCTCCCCCTCCTCCTCTGCCCATTCCATCAACTGCTCCTCCAGAGGAAAGTCACAGTGTGATTGAAGAAGGGGTGGCAGCAGTGATGTTCGAAGCTGTCCCCTCTACCCCACCTCCACCTCCTGTTGCTTCTGCTCCTGCTGCTCCTGCTCCTCGGCCCACTCCATCAGCTGCTTCTCCAGAGGAAAGTCACGGTGTGATTGAAGAAGGGGTGACAGCAGTGAAGGGCGAGCCATCTGCCCCTTCTGCCCCTCGCTCCCCTCCCCCTCCCCTTCCTGCTCCTCTGCCCACTCCATCAACCACTGCTCCAAAGGAGGAAAGTCACGGTGTGATTGAACAAGGGGTGACAGCAGTGACGGCCGAACCTACCCCTCCCTTACCTCCTCCTCCTGCTGCTGCTGCTGCTGCTGCTGGTTCTGCTCCGTCCATGCTCACTCCATCAGCTGCTTCTCCAGACGAAAGTCACAGTGTGAGTGAAGGGGTGACAGCAGTGAAGGTCGAAGCTGCCCCCTCTACCCCTCACTCTCCCCCTCCTCCACCTCCTGCTGGTTCTGCTGCTGCTGCTGGTTCTGCTCCGTCCATGCCCACATTATCAGCTGCTTCTCCAGAGGAAAGTCATGCCGTGATTGAAGAAGGGGTGACAGAAGTGAAGGTCGAGCCACCTGCTGTGACTGCGAACTCTGAACCTGAACCCGCCGATGTGACTGTACAGGAGGAGAAGGACGAGCCTACCATTGTGACTGTAAGGGATGAGATGGACGAGCCTGCTGCTGTGACTGTAAGGGATGAGATGGACGAGCCTGCTGCTGTGATTAAAGCCCTTGAACCCTCTGGTGTCACTGTAAAGAATGAGAATGCCGAGCCTGACACTGTGACTGTAAGAACTGAGAAGGACAAACCTGCTGCTGTGACTGTAAAGGATGAGAAGGACGAGCCTGCCGCTGTGACTGCAGACCGTGACCCCTCCATTGTGACTGTAGAGGGTGAGAAGGACGAGCCACCCGTTGTGACTGCAGGCCTTGAAGCGGCCACTGTGACTGTAAGGGATGAGACAGGTGGGCTGGCTGCTGTGACTAATGAGAAGGATGAGATGGATGAGAAGGATGAGCCACCTCCTGTGACTGTAACTGATGAGTCACCTGCTGTGACTGTAGAGGGTGGAAAGGACGAGCCACACGCTGTGACTGTAGAGGGTGGAAAGGACGAGCCACACGCTGTGACTGCAGCCCTTGAAACCGCCGCTGTGACAATAAGGGATGAGACCAAGGAGACGGATGAAAAGGACGAGACTAATGAGAAGGATGAGCTACCTGCTGTGATTGTGAAGGACGAGCCACCTGCGGTGTCTCTAATGGGTGAATCCGCCCCTACTATTGTGAAGGACGGAGTTGTTGACACGGATAACACAGCTCCACTACCTGCCGCACGTTGCCGGCCGCTTGCTGGGCGGCGCACGGTGGGCCATGGGCTCATAATCAGATCGGGCGGCTCAGCAACCCAGAAGGAGCATTGCAACAGTCTAACCACCGTGCAACCGGGTGGCTCTCTGGGGCCCATGCCCACCCTTGGAGTTCACTCACCTGCCGAACCTTCCAGGCTACCTGGGCTTTCCGTTAAGGCACTGGAGGTTCGGAAGGATGTGGATCGGAAGGACGAGGATCGGAAGGATGAGGCTCGGAAGGACGAGGGTCGGAAGGATGACTCACCTGGGCCTTATGATGCCGTGCGGCAGCAGCAGACTGCATCCCCTGTGCTGCTGGCTGCTACCAGGGATGCACAAGACCCTGGTGTTTCACCTGAGTCTTTGTTGCAACCTGGTGATTCACCTGAGGATCAGATGCGACCTGAAGAGCAGCCAGGCCGTCAGGAAATTACAGCAGAGGCAGCAGCTGAGGGAAGGACTGATGGCGTGGCAGAAGGGGGTCCTGCCACATCAGCAGCACCTGATTCGATCACACCTGCCACGTCAGCCGAGCCTAACAAGCCGTCCACGTCAGCGGAGCCTGAGAAACCGTCCACGTCAGCAGAGCTTGGCATGCCATCCACGTCAGCAGAGCTTGGCATGCCATCCACGTCAGCAGAGCTTGGCATGTCATCCACGTCAGCAGAGCTTGGCATGCCATCCACGTCAGCAGAGCTTGGCATGCCATCCACGTCAGCAGACCCGGTCACTGGTGCCATGCCGGCAGAGCTGGTTGCTGCGTGCCTGGGAGCCAATCGCGTGCTCCGATCGCGGAAAGCAGCACCAGCGGCAGGAGGAGGAGGAGCAGCGGCAGGAGCAGCAGGAGGAGAAGTAGCAGCAGTAGCAGCAGGAGCAGGAGGAGGAGTGAAGGAGCCTGGAGGAGTGAAGTCAGAAGAAGGACAGAAGGCAGGGCGAGACGCATTGAAGACACCACCACGACGGGGGGTGAAAGCATCACCACAGGGCCTGACGCGGTCACACGGAGGAGCAAAGGGGAATCAAGGCCATTCTAGGTCACCAGCCCAAGTTAGATCACAAGGGCGTAAAGGGGTGCAAGGTGTGAGAAAGGGGAGAGGGGGAACGGGGGAGAAGAGTGGATTGGGTAAGAGAAAGGTTGGGAAGGCTAGGGGGAGAGGGAGGGGTGCGAAGAGGAGGCGAAAGGAGGAAAGTGAGGAGGATGAGGAGAGTGAGGAGGAGGATGAGGAGGAGGAGGTGGAAGATAGTGAGATGGAGAGTGAGGAGGGAGAAGAAAAGAAAGAAGCAGAGGAAGAGCACAAGGGAAGAAGGACACGAGGGATGGAGAGGGGGGTGGAGGGAGAGGTGAAGCGGGTGACAAGAGGGGTTGGTGGTAGCAAGGAGACACGTGATCGGGAGGAGGAGAAGGATGATGGGAACAAGGAGAGACATGATGGTAACAAAGAGATTGCAGAAGAGGAGGAGAAGGGGGATTGGTGGGGCCGGAACATCTGTGGCGGGATGGAGGGGGGAAACAGTACAGGAGGAGAAAGCACAGCCGGAGGTGAGTGCTGGAGAACTTGAACAGCAGTTGGGCTTTAAGTAGTGTTGTCATTGAGAAAGCATGCGCTTCAAGAATGGGTATGGGAGAGAAGGGAGGATGCAGGAGCCTCAGGGAATGCGCAAGAGTTTCCCTTGCAGGAGCGAACCATGTGGCTTTCATAAACAATGCAGGTAGGGGTAGGTAAGCAAAGTTGGTGAGGTGTAGGGATGCTCTGACACCAGCTGGTTCCAAGTAGATTACCAATGTCTTGCAGCATTCTTCTGTAGCTACACCTCCCACCACTGAATTAGTCGTCGTCAGCCATCACAGTGCTGCTGTTTCTGTACCTTAGTTTAGTTGTCACAATTCTGGTACCGTACCATATTAGGCAGCTCCCTTTGTGCTAGTAAATTCTGCATCGGCAATGCAATACTGCTTTTGTACAGTGTATGCCCTCCATAGAACACGCAAGCCTGTGGTAGGTACTTGTAAAATAACAGAAGAATCTCAGTGAAGGTGGACACAGCCAGCATGCATAAGCATCAATCCTCAGTAGAACAGAACAGGAGAGCAAACAGTCCCATCATTACAGGAGAGGCATGGAGCATTGGTCCCTCGAAACACTGCATCGTTAGAACTACGCTTTTCCACAGAGGTAATTCTGTTGTGGAGCCAATGTTGCTGGTTCTGGGATACCACGTGTCATGGATCTAATCCCACTGCTGTTAATTTGTTGATACATATATACGGTATACCATGTCAACTGTTCTATCTTCAGAAGAAATTATCCTGCAAGCTCAATGTGCGTCTGCTAGCTAGACATGCGTCGATCCGTTCCATGTGGGCCTCAAAACCTGCGAAGGACAGAAGGTAGGGATGTGACGTAAGGCGATGCAGTGTTGCACAAGTGATGCGGAGCGCAATGCAGAGTGACGCTGGGTGATGCAGGATAATACAGGTTGGTATGCAGGGTGATGCAGGATAATACAGGTTTGTATGCAGGGTGATGCAGGATAATACAGGTTTGTATGCAGGGTGATGCAGAGCAGGGTGTGCATGATTGAAGCTGAGGAGTTTACAACTGTCTGAGCTGGAAACGCGCCTGTGGATATAGGAAAACGATAAGTTACTTGATTGTTGCCAGTCTCGTGATACCTACATAATGCAAACAGGTCTCATTTACCGGCCTCGTTAAGTCACTGTTACTAACCGGTCTCGTACGCGTTACTGGCTGGCGGTGACGGTGACTTCGCCCTTGTCCAGCGCGTTGTACAGCTCCTCCGTCTTGCGCTTCTCGTTGAGGTGACCCATCTTCCACATCGCCCCGCCTGCCACGAAAGCAATGTAATCGCACGGGTATTACATAAGCAAGGTACTTAGCGCCTCATAAGTAGCTTCGAGTTGACGTGGCCCATCTTCCACAGCGACCCTCCTGCCACGCAGCAACGACATCTCGGCAGTATTGCGTTAGCCTCGTAAATAGCTTCGCGTCGATGAGCCCATCTTCCACGACGCGCTTGGCTCGCAGCGAGTGCCATTTCACAACTATGAAACGAGTACTCCGTGAAAACTCCTCGCGAATCTTTCAAGGGTCGCGTCTACATGCTTCAGCAGCATTTTCCACGAGAAAGCTCGATAAACTTCACGAATAGAAAACGAGAACGTTGAGCGACTCGGGAGGAATGTCAGGAAGTCAGGGTAAAAACGTCGTGGAAAAGCCTGTGAAGGGCTTGGTACAGGGACGGCGCCATTGTGGAGGAACACGAGACGCTGATGTGGGAAGTGATAAGCGACACTGCTGTACAAGGTAATAAGCGACGATGATGGACGGACCTACGGCACCGAGGCTAAGGCCAGCGGCGATCTCGAAAATGACGCTCGGGCCGCCCTTCTTGGCGACAGCCACCCCGTGAGCCGCGATCTTGTGAGCAGCACCCATGTCGGCAAGGAACGCGGCGAGATCTGGAGTGGAGAAAGGCGGATCGGACGTGAAAGGTGGCGGGACTCGCGGCGAGCGTGGCGGAGAGAATCTGCGACGGAACTGGGTGTAGAAGGGAGCTGAACTTTGCGTTGTGACAATGGCGGGGGGTCGGGGTCTGCTAAAGACAGGGCTGGAGTTTTCGAGGCGAGGAATTCCCCAGATGAGGGGTTACCCGAGCGAGGAGTTTCCAAGGCAATGCTTTTCCCAAGCTGAGGTGCTCCCCTGATGGTTCCGCCTCGCGCAGCAGCGCCAAAGGGAAAGCTCTGGCTCGCAATTTTGTTACGCGATCTGGAACGGTCTCCTTTACGTTTAGTACGGTGCTTTGAGGTTCCTGAAATGATAGTGCAGTTGGGAGAAGGGCAATAACATAACCCACCAATAACAGGCGAGATCGGTGGGGGGGGGCTGGGCTGGGCGAGATTCTCGCGCGCACCATGAGTGAGGTCCTACCGAACAGCGTCTTCGTTTTCCCGCTGCGAGGAGGGTTCTCCCGCTGCGGAGGTTTGTCTTGTCACAAACGTTGAGGGCATGTGTGCCGGGGGGGCCTGGCGGGGGAAAAAGGAAAGGGAAGAGGGCCAACGATGGTACAGGATGAAGCATCACCTGTGGTTGGATCCGCGTTGCGCTTGGGGACTCGAGTCACTGCGTTTGCGTTATTATTCATTAAGGAAATATAATGTCAAAAAAACATCAACCAGCCATATCTTGCAGTCTCAATATCATAAGGTGGAATCTCTGAATTACTTTCAAGTCTCCAACCTTAAAGATCCTTATATGGTGTTGATGATCTATACGGCGTGAGTATTTGGACCTATATAGTATGCAGTGCCTGTACATGAAGGATAATAATAATAATAATAATAATAATAATAATAATAATAATAATAATATAGATAGGGGATCTACAACGATCCCTTTGGACTACCTTCCGGAGAGGCCCTTTTGCTCCTAGATCTGGCAGAATCTCCAGAAAGGGATTTCTTTTTAGAATAGTGCTTCCTCATGTGTCCGCCCAGAGCCTGGCCTGTCGAGAAAGCCCTGTCACACCTGCTGCATTTGAATTTATTCTCAACCCCTCCAACCCCTTGCCAAACCCTATCCATCCCTTGGCTTTCACTCCAGGGAGCCAGCAAGCCACTGTCATCATCAGGCCCGCTCACGTAAAACGGTCTGTCTCCAAGCAATTCTGCCACTTTTTGAGCGAGTGGGCTGACATCCCCTGGCTGTGGGTATTCGTGCTGCTCTGGAAGCTTGTCAAGCAAGCTCCCAACGCTTCGCATCCTGGTCATGGAAAAACCTGCAGCAATGCCTGCAGAGATCCCTGCTGCGGCATCAGCATTGGCATCGGCAGCAGCAAGAGCTGCAATTTGAGCAGCAAGTTCGTCACCACTGACAGGCATGGGGAAATTCCACCTCCTTCCCATGCCATGCTCCGGATTACACTCTGTGGAGACGCTTGTGCCTTGCTGAGCTGGCAGTGCCACGTCAGCAGCAGCAGATGCCAAGTTTTCAGCCAGGGGGTCGAATACGTTCAGGGAGTACGGCGGGGTGTGAGGCGAGGGAAGGAACGAGTCGTAGCCTCGCCCACCCCACGTCTTGGATCGCTTCCTGCTGTCGAAACGAGCCCCATCTGCAGCAGAGGCAGCAGCAGCAGCAGCAGTGGAAGCCGCGGAAGAAGCCGCAGCAGCTGTCGCAGCCGCAGTCGCAGCAGCCGCACTAACAGCACCGACAGCAGCAGCAGCAGGATGAGCAGTACCAGCAGCAGTAGGGAACGCGGCCCATGAGCGGGAGCGCACCTGGGGGAATAGGGAGGCACTCAGTGGGTCACTCCCGCCTCGAGCGTACGCCTGGGAATCTGTTCCCCAGGCTCGGGAATCTGTGCCCCAGGCTCGGGAATTTGTTCCCCAGGCTCGAGAATCTGTCCCCCAGGCTCGGGGATCTGTCCCCCAGGCTCGGGATTCTTCCGCTCGAGCATAGCTGCTTGCACCCTGCTCTTCCTCCTCCATCTGTTTCTGCCACAGGCGAATCTCGGACAACAGATCCTTCCCCACACCAGTCCTCTGCGACTCACAAGTCTCTGAAAGGAGGCTTCTTCCTGCAGTGACTTGCTGCTGTGGTGGCAGCATTTCGCCTCCTCCCCTACTTGAGAAGCTGATGCGCTGCTGGGGGTGCAGCTCTTGTGGTTCGTCCCGCTTTCGTGTTGAGCCAGCAACATGCTGTTGACCAGGTTGTCCAGGCTGACCAAATTGACCAGGTTGACCAAATTGACCAGGTTGACTACGTTGACTAAGTTGACCACGTTGAGCAGGCTGTCCATCACCTCGACCGAATGGGCTTGGCTGTTCTGCTTGGTCAGGTACCAAACTTCCAAGAACTGTTGACCGCTGCTGACCAACGTCAAGCTGACTCCTTGCTCTCTCTCCAACGAAAGCAGGCGCATTCAGGTCCAGCCCCCCCTCCCCAACCCCTCTTTCCACAACCCAGCTTCTCCTAGGCCCTCTGTCCCCAGCCCCTCTTTCTCCAACCCCTCTCTCCCCAACCCCTCCCTCCGCAACCCCTCTATCTGCATCCGTCTCCTCAGCAGGGTCGTTCAGGTCAGGGAGCTCACGCCGTGCTGACTTGGCCCCAACTTTCCCACTCCACCCACTCCTTCCACCCCACGCACCCCTCCAGCTCCTTCCACTCATGACACGGCTCCCCCCCTTCGTCCTACTCATCCCCCATTCAGGCGCCAGTTCCCCGGATGACGCGTCATCTTCGCCCAAGGCTTCAGCAGCCGCAGCAGCCCGGACAACCCCAGCAACCCCAGCCGCATCAGCCGCCTCAGCCGCCCCAGCCGCATCAGCCACCCCGGCCGCCTCAGCCGCTGCCCAAGATGGCCCAACTGGAACAATCAGGCTCCCAGCCCCCCATCTCGGCTCAGCTGATCCAGCTGCGTATGCCTCTCCAGGGGCAGCAGCAGCAGCAGCAGAGCTGGCGGAGATCCCTAGGGACGCTCGCGCTTGCGTGCCCGTGGAATAGAGGCTACTGCTCCACCCGTGCCTGGGGCGCAGGATAGGCCCTGGCATAGGAGCCGCAGCAGGGTCCGTAGCAGCAGTGGGAACGGGAGCAGGGGTGGGAGAGAGAGGGGAGTGGGCGCTGCTGCTCCACCCCATGCTGGTTAGAAGCGCCCCTGGCGCAGGGGGAACCAGGGCGCGGAGCAGGTGGTTCTGAGCAGCAGCGGAGGGTCCCTCCCCAAGAGAGGAGTGCGCGAGCTGGGCGGCAGAGCTGGTGAACAGGCCACTGCCCGTGGTCGACAGGGTGGCGGTCGGCGGCAGCATTGCCCCAAACGTTTTATGTGGCTGCCCGCCAAAATTGCCGGTCAGGTCGACGGTGTGTGAGACCGGGTTGGTCATCCCAGCATCTTCATCTGCAGCAGCAGTGGCTGCGGCAGCAACGAAGTGTTGTCCTGTAGGATTTAAACGATCAACTTGTGAAGGTTGCGGCTCGCAGCAGGGATGAAACCCTGGGTTCCTCTCGCGACTATTATAGTTCACAACCCGTGGCCGCACATTCAGAATTCTCTCCGCGTGGGAATATGCAGCGGCAGGTGCGGCGACGACGGTTCGCCGAGCGCTACTAGTAGCGACGGCCACAGCTGCAGCCTGAGGGTGCATCGATCCAGCGTGGCTCGTGCTGCTGACGACAGTAGTGGCCATAGTAGCTGTCTGATGACCAAGGGACCATATCATGTGCGCAGAAGCAGCAGCTGATGCAGCAGCTGAAGCAGCACCTGCCGAAGCAGAAGAGGCAGCAGCAGCAGCAGAAACCGCAGCACCAGCAGCTGAGGATTGGGCCGAGCCTCTATTAGCCGCTGCCATGGCTTCCATACAGTAGATTGCATCTGACGTCAGGTTGGCGCCATGTGACGTGAAACTCACAAAAGGGGGGGACGAATTACTACCATCGCCGGCTGCTGCTGCTCCGAATAAGAACTCCGCCAGGCTGCTCGCGTCGCTGCCGCTGCTGGAACCCATTCTGACGAGACCAGTGCTGACGTTGACCGCGTTTACCTCCGCGTAGTCCGCCGCGTTGACCCCGTTGACTATGGTTGACACTCAATGACTTTCATGTGCGAGATGGGCCGAAATAGTAGCAACAGGAAGTTTTCCAGAGATGCAGGTCGCCGCTTCTTGAAGGTATTCGACTGTTAATAGTGTAATACTATCAGTACCTAGGAGAAAGACCTTGTCACTCCACAGAGAGCATTCCAAGGATGAGCATATGTCTGAACGCGTTTTTGAAACGCCGTGATAGGTATGACGCGGTTTGTGACGTCGTTATAAGGCTCTGAACGCAGCTATCCTAAGAAGGACTGGGACATGATGAGACTTTGACAGCATGGCAGTGCGGTGTTAACGGCCCGCCGCCCGGGCTCCAACGGAAAGATGAACTCAACCCCCCCCCCCCTCCCCCCCCCCCCCCCCCCCCCGCTCGCTACTCCCACACTCTTCTCCAGACAGCTTTCTGGCGTGCTGAAGCTGGACCATCGTTCAAAATATGAGGCGGTGATCGCGCGGATCTTCAAGATGCAAGGGCTTTGGCGGCCAAGGCGAGGGTACACATCATGATGATGATTCTAAGCTCATGATACCCACGTGACGCAAAGGTGAGTTTAGGTTTGGTTTGGACTGCTCTCGGAGCCAATACCAGCCAAGAACCCACTTCTTTCAGCAGTGACTGCTTGTACGAACTGTTCGGCAAGCGCAGGGCCATGCGAGGAGAGAGTGGTGTGAATTCATACTTCATCTCGCCGCATTGGCGATGGGCCTAACTATCGTAGTGTGTCAGTGTCATCATTCTCACCCACGCGAACGAATCCGATCAGATTCTACGTATCCCGAGCCCACTAGGAGGAGTCCGATGCTCGCGGCGGCAAGAACGGAAGAGTTTTGCGAAGGGGTACGCGAAAAGATGCCACTGCTGGTTTCCGCTTTCTTCTGCTCTGTCACAAACACAACAACTGTACGTACTATCTAAGCGGCGAGTGGTCGCACACAACACATGATAAACCCGAAAGGGCCCGTCCGTTCCCACACCACGGTGGCCATACATTTGGTGCTGTACGTGACGGCTGGCAAGTCCAAGTCGTAGTGCGAGCAGCACCAATGGCGGTCGCGAGGTGACAGCTTGGGACTCCCCAACTCGGAGTTGAGCGAGGCATGGCGACTGGCAAAGGTGTTTCCCCTGCCAAACGTCGTTCGGTTTGGACCGAGCCGAGGTTATAAACCTTCTCTTCCCAATGATGCCGGATGTTTGAAGTGATGATGGCCGTAAGATATAATTCTGTGGCGACGCGACGGAAAAGGGATATAACAGTGTGGCGACGCGACGACAGTCTGGACTAATCGACGAAGCTGGGCGCTTGCGAACAGCACTGATGAGCTAAGCAACGCACGCGCTGTGAATAGACGCAGTGACTAAGGCACCGCCATATCCACGAGATACGCAATCTGAACGTGGTTGCTCGGGGTGGCAAAAGTCCGTAAACATTTCCTCCTCGCGCAAAGACAACTTACATCCGGCTTCTAAGCTTGCACCTCGGGTTTAGGGTCCTCATGCCAACTTTTACAGCCTGAACAGTTTGAGCGACATAACCGCCTGTGGTCCACGGCCCCACCCGCATTCACGCTGGAAAGAGGTGGTGGCGGTGGGATAGAGTGTGACTGGGCACGGGCAGCACACACACACCACCCAGCCAGTGACAAGGGGCAGTCGAGCAGGCTGGCAGGCAGTCATGTCTGTCGAACAGGACAGAAGATCACCGACGTACTTTGGGGAAGATGGGGTGCGAGGCAAGAGTTGATCATTCCCGTCACGTGGTTGCAAGAGCCGTCGAATTCCGAACCATCATAGAGGGCAGATGGCGGTGGGACAGCATCGAGCCACTTGCGAACTTACCTCAATACCATCATAGCTGTACGATCTCCACGGTCTCTACGGTGTAGATTAGTTTGGGCAGCAGATATGGTCCCAGCCAGAAGCAGTACCTCCAGCTTCCATAGGCAGGTGTCCCCAAGCTATGAAGAGAACAGGCTCGGTGGAGGCTTGGACTGGTGGGGCAAGTGTGTATATTTCTCACACTAGGCTTTTGGTTTGTGTAGCAACCCTATATATTTGGTTTCACTTTTTGCGAATACCATTTTGGAGTGATTTTTGGGTTGCGTAGCAACCCTTTATATTTGGTTTCACATTTTGGGGATATCATTCTAAGAGCGTATTCCTACGGGGCCACCTCGTATCAAGAATGAAATTGACTTTTGTTTACGGTATAAAACACCTTATATCAAGAATAGACCGAACCAGCGCACCAATGAAAATGCTCGCACACCCAGAAGTGAACGTGCTGATTTTCCGACGCACGGTTCCAGTTGACGCGAAGTCGTCAGTCCAGTGAATGCGGCCGACAAACAGTCATGCGAAACTGCACACGGTGGCAGTCGTGCGCCGCGCGCGAACGTGCAAAGTGTGCAAACTTGTTCATGCTGGGTCGCAACATGCCACATCAGCTGTTGATGGAGTCGCACATGTGGGTTAACCGGCAACTTTTACTGATATGAGGTTTTGGCGAACTTGTCAATTTACAGGCAGGAGTACCATTCTTGATACGAGGTGGCCCCGTAGGAATACGCTCTAAGAGTGTTATTTACGCACTTTTTGGAGCACTCGTTTGAATGTTTTGAAACTGTGTTCAAACGGATGCCTCAAACAGTGGATAAAAAACACTCTTGAATGAGATCCCCAAAACACGTAAGCACGTACGTATCATGTTGAAACCATGAACTTGCTCGACCGTCACAACCTCGTCGATAAATACGGCGGATCGTACGGCCGAGCATAATATTCTGGCATCGACATGAACGAATGCAATTGTACAAATGAACAACAAGGTATGAGGTGGAGTGAATGCTTCAAAATGAATGTTAAAATGCATCATGCAGCAACAGAGGTTGATGGGGTCGTTGAAACAGCGAAAACACGCTGCCCCAAAGACGATTAACAACCTCTAATTGCATACATAACACATACTAACACCACACTTTGAACCACACATCCCACAAACACGAATGCAAACGCACGTAAAACCCCACAGTGAAACAAACACAATGACAAGACATGAACACACACCCGCACAAACACACCCGCACCGCACACACATACATACACAAATAGGATTGAGAGCAGACAAGCATAACAAAGAGTTGAAATAAGTTAATTATGTATCAATCACTGCTACCTTGTCCCCCCCTTACTCCCCCTTTCTGCCTTCCTTCCGCTCCCTCAACCATCGAAATCTCCTCCCACCCTTTTCCACATTGTCTTCTCTCTCGATCCCTCCCTGCTCCCCACAACGCGTCTCGCACACCTTGCAAAACAAACGGGTCAAGCAGAAAAAGAATTGTAGTCGGAAAACGGAATGAACTATTCAATGACGAACACGCACTTGATTGTGAAATGGAACTTGAAAGAAATATGATAAGTACAAAAGATAACCGAATTCGACGACTCACAAGCGTGGTTTGAAGCATAGATCTCCTGGGGTCACGCACACCACGCTGGTGTGCAGCAAGGCTCCAGCGAGCAAGGTGCCTTGGTGCAACGAGCTGGGCATCGCCATGCTACAAGGTGCCAGAGAGTTGCAGCAAGGCACTGGCAGAGGAGCAAGCGGGCTGCCGTAACAAGGTGTGAGCTCACTGCAGCAAGGCGTGAGCTCACTGCAGCAAGGCGTGAGCTCACTGCAGCAAGGCGTGAGCTCACTGCAGCAAGGCGTGAGCTCACTGCAGCAAGGCGTGAGCTCACTGCAGCAAGGCGTGAGCTCACTGCAGCAAGGCGTGAGCTCACTGCAGCAAGGCGTGAGCTCACTGCAGCAAGGCGTGAGCTCACTGCAGCAAGGCGTGAGCTCACTGCAGCAAGGCGTGAGCTCACTGCAGCAAGGCGTGAGCTCACTGCAGCAAGGCGTGAGCTCACTGCAGCAAGGCGTGAGCTCACTGCAGCAAGGCGTGAGCTCACTGCAGCAAGGCGTGAGCTCACTGCAGCAAGGCGTGAGCTCACTGCAGCAAGGCGTGAGCTCACTGCAGCAAGGCGTGAGCTCACTGCAGCAAGGCGTGAGCTCACTGCAGCAAGGCGTGAGCTCACTGCAGCAAGGCGTGAGCTCACTGCAGCAAGGCGTGAGCTCACTGCAGCAAGGCGTGAGCTCACTGCAGCAAGGCGTGAGCTCACTGCAGCAACGCGTGAGCTCACGCAGCAACGCGTGAGCTCACTGCAGCAAGGCGTGAGCTCA